TCTTTCTGTTGTCAACTATAAGACGTGTATACAAAATTGTTTATGAGTTGACACTGTACTTTCTTACAGAAGTATGGTCCAGACAGTTCCGTGTGTTATAAAATGCCATATTTTTAAGTCTATGCTCCTCCCCATTGACAAATTCTCTTCTCACCCAGTGCTAAACATTGCAAAATACCCATGTTTGAAGTTCTGTGCTTTATACTTACTTCTAGCTATCAGCTCCTAGTGCCCATCTAAGAGACAGAACTGCAGTTTTATGCACACATTATCAGGCCTGTCCAGCTTGGATATGCAGAAAAGAAAGACCCTCGACTCCATTTGTAGTGAAAGATCTATTTTTACTGAAGCCAAGTGGGTTTCAGTGTAGCGAAGCCAGATCTGACGATTTCCTGCACAGCCTTGGTAATTTTCCCCCTTGGTCATCTTGGTGATTGTCCCATAAGGTTCGAATTTGATGTTTTGGTAACAGTTCCACATTTTGGCACTTCTTTAAATGGGCGTTTCATGTTCCGTTCCCAGGCTTGTGTCCTTGGATCTTTCAAACGTTGTCTCTCGATGGTGCCTCTGGCTCCTGGCATTCCCCCCACCCCATCTTCCCATTCCCCTTCCCCACATTTTATGTCAGGCTGCCAGCAAAGCAAAGCGAAGCAGGGCTGAAGCGGTTTGATGGCAGATCTGACACACATACTGGAAAGAAGCATAGTTGGCTGAGGAACTCTGGGAGTTGAAGTCACACATCTTAAAATTGAAGAGTTGAAGTCACACATCTTAAAGCCAAGGTTGAGAAACACTGTAAAGAATCCATCTGTTGTAGCGATCTTTGGATCTTGAATGTGGATTTGCCAATGGATATTTTTAGTCTCTAAAGCATTTTTATTTATCTGATTTTGTCAAGTGATTATAACAGGTATAAGTATAAACATAGTTATGAATTCATGAAATGGATAGATATATATATAAAAAAAAGAAACAATAGGACAGGGACGGTAGGCACTTTTGTGCGCTTATGCACGCCCCCTACAGACCTCTTAGAAAAGGGGTGAGATCAATAGTAGACAGTCTAAGGTTAAAGTTTTTGGGGTTTGGGGAAGAAACCACAGTCAGAGTATTCCAGACATTGAATATTATATTCAATGTCTTATAATGCATTATAAGACTGTTGGTTGGCTTCCTGTCAAATCAACTCCCAGAAAGATTGAACATGCCCTGATGAAGGCACTCATTAACTAAAAATAAAATCTAATGACAGAGTGGATTAGACCATGTTTGCTAATTGAACTCCACTTACATGTTGTTTTTTTTAAAGTGAATCAGGCATTTTTACAGAGGTTTATCATGGTCTCATTTGTCCAAGCAAAATCCTTCTCCTATTTAAAGTAACAAGAATACAAACTGCACCGATGCCAGAATTTCATTTCAAACTGTTTTCTGAGCTTTTGGTTTGCTTTGCCTGTTTTTTGTATTTACTAAAGATAAAGAGAAAAAAGCCCATGGATATATAAGCTGAAGAATACATTATTCCTGAGCGTTGTAATACTTTGGGCAGCATGCATGAATAATTTCTTATTGTTTGCATTCTGCCTTATGGATGTAATGAGACTGCCTGCTGATTTTTGCTAAAGTTTCTATTAGTGCAGAACAAATATATTAATATGTTCCTGCTACCTCTGAAGTATTTAATCAGAGAAATTGATTAAATTATGACTCACTTCTGAATAAACATGCTGAGGATCGAGCTGTACAATTATGAAGACTTTTTAAGGCTTTAAAATATAGAACATGGATTTCAACAAATTGATTTATTTCATCCTTCTCCCAATTGCTAATTATAAGATATTACAGGCATACCTTGGACACTCTTTCAGAATGCCTTCAAATGTGGCAGGTAATTATCATTTTAATAGAACAAAAGAAGAAAATAATTAAATACACAGGGAATAGTCACAAGGATTTTATTTAATAATTTAATTTTATTATTATTAAATCAAATCTAACGTAGTTCTTAAACTTCTTGCTGTGAGGTATCTTTTGTAGGGCAAGGGATGTATCAAAAAGGCAATATGTTGGCCATAATGGAATCCCTACTTTTTTCACATGTCATCTCGGCTGCTCAGTACTGTTCTTTCTTGCTGGTTTTATGTCACCCCAGTAGTAGATGAGAGCTTGGATGTTCTCAAGTTTTCTTGGATCAATGTCTACATCAGGGATGTCCAACATTGCAACTTTAAGACCTGTGGACTTCAACTCCCAGAATTTTCCAGCCAGCATGGAAAGTGATTAGTTTAGCTTTGTACAGTTGTCTAGTACTTAACAAGGTATTGGTAGTAACATGAACCACACTGGGAGGGAAAGGCCATTCAGTGAGATTGATAGCCAAATGAATATCTGTATCAGTAGGTAAACAACTGGATGTCCTGTGTAGATGTTTGGAACTCCAACTCATGGTTTATTGCTACTTGCCATAAAAGGTGAGAGGCAAAGGACTTGAAGTCCCAAACACCTGGAAAATGCTACCTTGCCTATCTCTGATATGCATTCTCGTTTCCTACAACTGATTTTGCTCCTGAAGGCAATACATAGTCTTAGTTCTTGCCTCTTGTACAGTCAACTAAGACAACCAAATGGATGGAAGAACTCCAAATGTGTGTGCTATGCAGAGTGATACTCGAGGTTCATGAACCTAGATGCAAAACAATGTGTAAAAATGCATTCCTGAAAGGATGGAATACATCGTTAGCCCTTCTTTCTTTCACATACATGTGTGTATATGTGCGTGTGCATGTATTTGGGTAGGTATATAACCTCACCTTGGCAATGGATACAAACATTATCATGCCTAATAGTTTTTTTCTCCTCTGTTGCTTCTGTTAATATTATTGAAAGTCCAGTTGCCTCTTCTTTTTTAAAAAAATATTTTTTATTGTTTTATATAATACATTTCCTTTCTGTGTTGAGCAGTGTGCTCCCTAGGTGTCCAAGGTGTTAAACAGTGGTGGGATTCAAATTTTTTTACTACCGGTTCTGTGGGGTGTGGCTTGGTGGGCGTGGCAGGGGAAGGATACTGTAAAATCTCCAGTCAGAGGTGGTATTTGCCGGTTCTCCAAACTACTCAGAATTTCCACTACCGGTTCTCCAGAACTGGTCAGAACCTGCTGAATACCACCTCTGTTCCCCACCCCACTAACCTGCTTTCCAGCTCCATTCTCCTGTGCAGGGCAACAAAAGAAGACCCAGCTGATCAGCTGGGACACGGGAGGCAGAGAATAGACTGGGGTGGGGCCAGTCAGAGGTGGGATTTGCCGGTTCCCCGAACTACTCAAAATTTCCACTACCATATGCTTATAATGGCAATTCTGTGGGAAGGCTTGATTATCCAAATTTATTCCAAAACTGTAACAGGCTGAAAATGATGGTATATAGTGGGGTTTTTTTTTAAAGGGGGGTACATTTTTTAAATTTATATTGCACATTTCTGAACTAGCCATCTCCCTCAAAAAGAGAATATGAGAATATTTCCTTTCTTTCCTGCTGTAATTTTGTGACTTCCATGATTATTATTTAATAATTATTGTTATATATTATTTAATAATTATTGGAAAAAGTGCAAACTAAGATGATTCTGGGCCTGGAGACAAAAACATGAAGAATGGTTGCAGGAGTTGTATATAGCCAGTCTAGAGAAAAGAAGGAATAGGGGTGACATGATAGCAGTATTTGAGGAGCTGCCATAAAGAAGAGAGGGTCAATTTATTTTCCAAAGTACCAGAAGGCAAGACAAGAAACAATAGATGGAAATTAATTAAGGAAAAAAGCAACTTGGAATTAAGGAGAAACTTCCTAATAATGAGGACAATTAACCAGTGGAGCAGCTTGCCTTCAGAGGTTATAGGTGGTTCATCACTTATAGGTTGTTAAGAAAAACTGGACAGTCACTTGTCTGAAATGATATAAGGTCTCCTGCTTGAGCAGAGGGTTGGACTAGAAGACCTATGTTAGGAATAACAAGGTTACCTAACGTAGTTTGGGTAAAATAATATATATAAACTATGATAGTAAGTTTAAGTGTGTGTCACTTTAAACTGCAAAGCATGTAATTTTGGGTGCGGTTGTGAAACTGCCATAAGAGGGAGCAAGAGAACCTGCTGGATTGATGGTTTGCTAACTGCGTGTTCCCTGCTGCTGAGTTTTTGAACGTCGAAGGAAGAAAGGAGGTTTGACTTCTTCATATCTCTACTGCGAGGAGATATATTACTGGACTGATATTTGTAAGTTTACTGACCTCTTTTTCGACACTGGACTTTGCAACTGAATAATCCCCCGACGGACTGAACTAGTTAATGATATATGGACTGTTTGACTATGCTAAAACTCTTACTGGAATAAACTATTTAACTAGCACAGTGTATCTGTTTTACTGAGTGTAAGCTAAAAAAAACGTTTATCTCACATATTTTGCCTGACTGCCGTGCACATTCTGCTAGGGTGTATCCCTAACAACCTCAAAGGTCCCTTCCAGCTCTATTCTGATTGATTGATCTTTAGGAGTCAAAAATAATTTGATGGCTCATAATCAGTCTATCTGCCATCTTGCTAAAGAGAGTTTTCGTCAAGCCTGAGATCTGCTGCGTGGATACAGCTCTCTTAAGTTGGAATGCACTTGCCTTCCTTGCCTGATGATGTGAAATTGTCAAGTAGTTATTTCACATTATTTAATTTCCTGTCAGATGCATGCTAATGTGTTTTACCCCACCTTATCCAAATGTTTTACAGACATTGAAATAAGAATGAAATTGCTCATTTTCCAGAATCTTTTTTTTTTGTCATTAAACAAGTTTCAAAGAGTGTTGTTCCAACTCAAAAGTAGTGATTGATCATTGGAAAGGATTATATACACAATCTAGGCACAATCTCAGCTGAACAATTCTTTTGCTTTAGAGCTTTAGAGCTCAGATTCTGAGCCATGATGATCACCTAAATTTGGGCCTCATTTCTTTCAGGATCTAAGGGCTGAAACCCCACTTGGTGATCTGTGGCATCATGATTTTTGGGGGAATAAACTCAATAGCAATACAAGCCACAAATCTTATCGACCACTTACTGTACTGACTTTCAGGTGAGACATTTTAGGCTATCTTAAGATTGTTTTCTTTCTTTGGGTGGGGAGGGGAGTTGGAGTCATCAGTGGGGATAAAATTAATTGAGATACTGACTATTTAGTGAAATAAAGTATCATTTAGTGTTTTAAATATAGGTTGATTTTCCCATCTGGATGCATAATCTATTGGTGGATTATAATATGTGACCATTATTTGGGGTTCCTCAACTATGAACATCCTAGTATAGAATAGCTTCTCCTGTTACGGACAGTTGGAAGTATCTCATAAGTAAAATTTGGGCCTCATTTCTAGATCACTAAGAATCCTGAATATACTGTGCTTGCTTCCACAAACCATATTAGCAACATTTTTAACACAACATGTAGTTTCATTAGCGCTTGCCTTGTTCTCTTGGCTGGAAGGGCTGCCATTGTGTTATGGTTTTCATTGGAATATATGGTCCACTATAGTACAGTTGCTGTCGCATCCACATACTCAGAATCTCTTGAGGAAGAAGTGAGTAATCTCCAACCTTCCTTTGCAAGTCCATGGACTGGCGGTCATGGGATAAGTTCCAATGTAAGCATCTAACAAAGAAAGGCTAGATATTTATTTATAAACATAAATAAATAGGGGCATTTCCACTCAATGTGACATGTTACTATATATTGAATGGGGGCAAGGTTTCCACTCCTACTCGGAATTGCCTAGGATTAAACTTGGGAACTTTGGCGTGCAGGACACGTAGTCTACCGTTTACACATTAAGTTGACTTCAAACCATTCTTCTTGATTGCTACTATTTTAATGTTGCTCTGGTACTAACAGAGGTTTAGAAACTATCCTGGAACTCAGGTTGAATCACTGGTTGGGGAAGTCGAAAAGAAAAGGAGAACGCATGTGAAAAAAAAGAAAGAACCAAAAACTCTAAAAAGGGATCTTCTATTTCTGGATTGAGAAGAACCTGTTTCCTATTTTTTTATGCTTCAGAAACAGGAGTGCTAGTTGCTAGGCCAAGTGTTAAGTTGCTTGCCTTTTGCATCCCTGTTTGTCACTTCCCTTCAATGTCTCCTCTATACCAAGTTACACAGGCACTGCCATCTCTGTGCATACACATAAAGCACTCTTTTGGATTATTTCAACATATTCTAATTTCATTTATTCCTGTTTTTAACTTCACTGTTTTCTTTTTGTCTTCCCTTGTATAGGATTAATTACCTTTTAGCTGGAGGCTTCCACCCATTCGGCTTTCATATCATCAATATAATACTCCATTGTATTATTTCTGTCTTAATTGTTGATGTCTTCTCAATATTATTGGGTGGGCTGCACTACACCAATAAAGGAAGAAGGCTCAACTTTGTCCCCAAATCCTCCTTCCTAGCGGCTTTGCTGTTTGCCGTACATCCTGTGCACACTGAATGTGTAAGTACCTAATGACTCAGGTGTTGAGAAGCGCTCAGAAGCGTTAGGGTTCCATCATCTAATCTTTTGTATGCTTGCAAATTACCTGTCTTTTATGCACTCTTCTGTCTGTGTGTCTGTATACAACATGCCTGATTTTATGTTGCAACTTCTCTTTGCTCATGTCCTTTGCATTGACATCTCTGGTATATTACTAATCCCTCAGAGAGATTTTGGTTTCAAAAGATGCTGATAACTTATATAATTATTTATTTTTAAAGTGTATCTTGATTGGCATAAAGACAGCATGGTGTATCCATAATTGGGGAGATCTATGATAGCATTTCACTAGGAGAAAGCGTAAGTACTTGTTGCATGGCAGAATCCCTAGTTTTTATGAATCCTTGGTAGTCAATCTCCTACCGAAACACCTCCCAAAATGTGCTGCATTGGTTATATCCAATGTCTTTCTTGAAACAAATTTCTCAGGAGCAGTTCATATGATCTACTTTATGTGGTTCAGACAGAAGCAGATCCTTGCAATCTGTTTCTTTAAAGGGGTCTCTGAGAAACAAGAACTATGGTATTCAGATTTTAACACTGGGATAGAAGCCGGAGGCCTATGGTTATTTTCCCATATCATACGAAGAGGATAGCCATTCCCTGCACTTCTGAACAGAGACTTTATCTGATGCCACAATTCAGTTGTTAGTTGAGTAGTCTTTGGGTGGTAAGAATTGTTCATACTAAGCAATTTTGGGGGCAATATTTCACATTTGGAACATGCCAAAGAAGATTAGGTTTTTTTCATAAAACTGAGATAAGGTAGGGAGCCATGGGTGTCTGCTTATGTTGATGTCTGGAGACACCATTTTGTTTATCACTGCTTATCCTGTCAGATGCTTTGGGGCTTTACGTTTGATCTAGTCTTGTCTATGACTGCCGCTTACATATGTGAAGCAATGTCTTGCTATGAAATGGTTTGTTTTTGTAGTTTTTTAATGACAACTACAACATCTGAAATTGGTTCTGCTCAGAGGGGTTGGTAGAGTGTGGATCTCCTATTTGAGAAAGTGTCGTGACTCTGAAATCTGCAACTCTTGGGGGTGCAGATCGGATGAAGATCCTGTGGTTAAACAGTGACACATGTCGCTGTCAGTCAGTGTGGGAGGTCAAGGAGAGTTTGTGCAAGAGTAAAATCAGAGCAGGTTAACCAAGAGGGTGCATTTGTTCTTGAGCCTGCATGTGAGGCCTGTACATATTAGTAACACACTACACAGTGTGGGTGGTAGACCTACGCTTTTTTGGTTTTTCCGAGATTCCAATTTTTTTGATGATTTTACAAAGATGCATGTGAGGAGAGGGAAACATTCACAGACATTGAGGTCTCCTGAATGCTCCCTCGTGTCCTCCAGGCTGTTTCTCAAAAGTATAGGAAATGGCCAAAGAAGGGTGGGTTGTGCCTCATAAAGAAATTCCAGTCTTCCAGTAGACATCTCTGAGTTCACGATTTCCTCCCTGGTGTGTTTTGAAGGGAAAACGTCATGACTTCTCTTCTCAGAATATTGTTGAGAGGAAGGATTTGTCTTCTCCCTCTGATGGTTGACTATAGCCAGGCTACACAATTCAGTCATTCCATGCCATGCGATTGCTTAAATGGCTCTCAGTGGTTTCATGCCACTATTGGTTGATATTGCCAGGGGCACTAGAAAATACTTTTAAAGGGCACGTGGGATAGGTTTTCAAGAAAAAAAAATGTCCTAGGATAAATCGTGGTAAGTTTGTCCTCCGTTGGAAATTTTTCTGATATCCTTGAGTATCCTTTCACAACCTTGATCCCTCACCCTCTCCCAAGCTAGAAGAGAAGTTTTGGGAGCTGAAGAATACACATTTGGACATCACCCCAGTTAGAGAAAATTGACTCAGAGCATAAGCAACATTATTATCTCACTTACTCTAAGAGCAAATTCCTACAAAGGTAGGAAATTGGGCTAGATGGTCTCTAAGATGTATCTTCCAGCCCTTCTATTCTGTGAATCTGAGTTTGATCTTCAAAAACTACAGGTAGACCTCAGCTTATGACTACAATGGAGCCCAAAATTTATGTTGTTCAGTAAGACATTTCTTAAGTAAGTTTTGCCCCAAACTTACATTTATGACCTTTCTTGCCACATTTGTTAAGTTAATCACTGCAGTTGATAAGTTAGTAACCCAGTTGTTCAGTGAATCTGGTTTCCCCATTGACTTTGCTTGTCAGAAAGGTCAAAAGAGGTGAACACTGAACCTTGGAACACAGCAAAGTTCATAAATATGAACCAATTGCCAAGCATCTGAATTTTGATCACATGATTATGGGCAGGGGTGGAATCCGACCGGTGTAACTACCAATTCAGTGATTTACGATTTGCGTGCACATGCGTGCTTTGCGCGCATGCACACGTGTGAATCATCATCAGCTTGCTGCCTGGGCAGCTGAGCAGCACTGTGCATGGGTGCGCAGCAGTTGAAAAAGCATTTTTTTCCCTGCTTTTTCAACCGCAGCTGTGCCACGCAAAGCAGCTGAGGTTGAAAAAGCAGGAAATAAAGGTCAGGTAAGAGCCTGGGCGGGCGGGTGGGCCAAAACAGCAGCAGACACAGAACCGGCTCTATCTCTGTTGCTCTTCAGAGCTACCGGTTCTACAGAGCCAGACAGAACCCGTAGAATCCCACCCTTGATTATGGGGATGCCGCAATGGTCATGACTGAAAAACAGTCATAAGTCACTTTTTCAGTGCCGTTGTAACTTTGAATGATCACTAAATGAATTGTTGTAAATTGAGAACTACTGTGTATAATCATTCTTGAGAACCTATTATAAAAATATAGGGCTATTATTTTTATTATGAACACACAAGCACACATAAACCCACACAAATATTTGAAAACAATATATAGATTTCTTGCACACATTTGCAAAGGGTAATCAAATGAAAAACAATGTTGAACTTCTGAGACTTTTCTAATATTGGGTTAGTTGGTATACATTTTTCATTATTAACAAACTAATCTTCCATAAAAATGTTACACATTTCACACTTCACTGCATATTTGTGAGGAAGATACATACATTGCCTAGGACAGCGGTGGCTAACCTTTTTGGACTCCTGTGCCAAAAATTGTGCGTGCACTCTCATGCCAGAATCCAGAAGACAATGCGCCCCCCCACCCCCTACGCATGCAGGTGCAATCTCCATCCACCACCACTACCACCTTACCTGCACTGCACCTTACAGCTGATTTTAGCCTGGTTTGAGGCCTTTTCGGTCTCCCAGAAGCTTGAGGAAGGCTTCTGCAGGCTTTGCAGCCTGAAAACTAGGTCCGTTTCATCACTTCCAGTATTTCCGGAAAAACAGGGCGTGATGAAATAGGCCTAGTTTTCAGCCTGCATTTCAATATGCAGAAGCCTTGCTCAAGTCTCTGGAGGCTGAAAAAGGCCTCAAATCAGCTGAAAATCAGCTGTGAGGCACGCAGTGAAGTAAATTTGCCTGCAGCTCGCGTGCTGGCACAAATGGCTCTGCGTGCTACCTGTGGCACATGCCATAGGTTCGCCGTCATGGGCCTAGGGCCTCTGGTATATAAAATTTAAAATGGAGCCCCAACGTGTTTCATAGTTGCAGGGGGTTTTGGATTTTGCAAACTGTTGTATCCTCTCTCTACTTCTTGGTAGAGTTAGGGTGACCTAGGGAGGAGGTGAAGCCTTTCATTAACTCATACTGAAATGAAAAGGTTCTCAGTCTAGTGTAGCTCTGATTAAATTGGCACAACTTTGCCCAGAACTCTGGTATGGATGGTTGTATAAGAGGTAGTCCTCAACTTAACAAAAACAATTGAGCCCAAAATTTATGTTGTTAAGTGAGACATTTGTTAAGTGAGTTTTATGACCCCATTTTACGACCTTTCTTGCCACAGTTCTTAAGTGAATCATTGCAGTTGATAAGTTAGTAACCAGATTGTAGGAAGTGAATCTGGTTTCCCCATTGACTTTGCTTGTCAGAAGGTCACAAAAGGGAATCACATGATCTTGGCACACAGCAATGTGTACTAGTATGAACTAGTTGCCAAGCATCTGAATTTTGATCAGGTGAACATGGGGATACCACAAAGGTCGTAAGTGTGAAAAATGATCAAAAGTCACCTTTTTTGTGTGCCGTTGTAACTTTGAATGGTCACTACATGAACTGTTCTAGGTCGAGGACTACTTATAAATTAAAAGGCTGTTGCTGTCCGAGTGGAGGGTAAGAGGCTTGTTTACTAAACCTTGAACTCTTCTTCCTTTCCATTTTAAGATTGCAGGGATCGTTGGCAGAGCAGACCTCTTATGTGCCCTGTTTTTCCTGTTATCTTTTCTTGGCTACTGCAAAGCATTTAAAGAGAGTAAGTACTTTCCTCCTTAACATTTTTGGGTAGGCTATGCCAGCGGACGATAAACATGAACATAACGCCTGAGTTTGAAGACCAGGGAATGGTTTCTTTTCAGAAATCAGCTTGTCCAAAATGTTGCTTTGTCTGTCTCATCTCCATTCCCAACTCGCCTGCATTGTGACGAACCAGGGCACTTGCACAGAGGTAACACGGGCAGCTGGCAGTTCAGACCACCCCTTTCTTGCTCCGAATTTCACCAAATGCTCCCACGTTTTCTGGCAAGTCCCAGAGCAAAGTGATCACACACACACACACACACACACACACACACACCTCAAGCTGCAAATAATCCAGCCCAACGCTGTGAGCACCATGGCTGCAAAGCAAGAAATCCAGAAAGAATGCAAGGAATCCAGGAAAGGTCAAACGTTGGCACTCAACACTCCAGGAATTTAGCATTTGTTCCCTTCCCACAGCATCTCCTTAAGTCTCAGTCTCCAGGTGTGCCTTGTAAAGAGGAGCAGGGCAGTCTCCTCCCGAGTAGTCGCATCAGTCTGCCCTGTTCTCACCTTCTCTCCACTCTCTGTGCTCGAGGATCAGGAGCGGGTTGGTCCTTGCTCATCGCCTGAGCTCTGTCTCTCATGTTCACTCCTTAGCCTCTCTTGGTCATCCTGCCCCCCCCACCCCGCCCTTACTCCCTGCCTACAAGCCATCCCAATCCTGAAAGGCCCTGGTCTGACTGGGCCTGCTCCTCCCCATTTTCCTCCCAAGCCAACAAAGCCGCCCCCTTGATCTCCATCTTCTTCAGTTCTGACTCATCTTCCTCTGCAGATTCAGGCTCTGATGGGGGGCATGACACATATGAGTTAACAGTATTTTAATTAGTGACAGCCTTGATTTTTTCATTTTCAATTTCAATGACTGATTGGAAGAATCTTGGAAATTTAGGCAACAAGGAGCCAAAATAAATTTGCACTATTATACATAGAAATTACACGTGATTTTTCAGAACTTCTGCAATTAAAACTTTTCCTATGTTTGGGGAAAACTTCAGTTATATTTTGTTTTCACCTTTGAGTCGATTTACACTCTTTGTAATTGTTGCAATGCCATTTTTTTTGATCAGCCTCATAGAAATATTTTACCATTTCTTTCTTTCTTCTGGAAGTTTTTTTTTTTAATTTCCAGTCTAGCGTGTAGTCCTGGAATGTCAATAAATGATAACCAAGTTGAAACCTGCTTAGTTTCTAAACATAGACAAAACCAACCACTTCTCCATGCTGATGCTGTTTTAAAGAAGCCAATTAACTCTAGGAATGCTGCGCGGACAAGGCTTTAAACCCGGGGTATGCGTGTCCAATTTTAGCAACTTTAAGACTTTTAGCAACTTTAAGACTTGTGGATTCAATTTCCCCAAGCTGGCTGGGGAATTCTAGGAGCTGAAGTCCACAAACCTTAAAGCTGGACCTTTAGACGTCCATATATATCATCAGTAGCATGCATTTTATGTACCCATGCATTATATGGTGTACAAACATTTGGTTAGGATGTCTTAGGCTGCTTTGAGCTTTCCTATTCTGTGTTTTCTGACTCCTCGCCTTGCCTAGAAAATAAACGTTGGGTTCAGACTTGGTGCTGGGAGAGATAGGAATCCCTAGGGTTCTCTTATTTATTTGGAGGAAGGTGGGCCTCCCAGTCTCTTCTTTCCAGTTTTCCACATGGCAACTAGACTTTCAGCTGTAGTTAGTATTAATGCTTAAGCAGTACCAAGCCAGCCTTTGATGTCTTTCTCAACCTCTTTCCATGCCCTCTTTCCCTCACCTGTGCAAGGGGTCAAACAAAAGACAAAGCCAAAGCAGCGTTTTAACACTGATGCTAGCAGAGGAAGCTGTGACTGTGATAGCTCCCTCTAGCAGTCAAAAATAATGCTCCCCCCCTTCCCCCCCCTTTGCAAACGGAGGGAACAAACTGCTTGCTTCAGTTTTGTGATTTTGAGGGCGGGGGGAAGGATGCAGCATTATTTTCATCGGGAGGAGCTAGCCAACCCAAACAAACTTCCAATCTATAGTGCTTGCAAATGATGAAGAAAATAGCTGTGGGGTTTTCTTTCATTCTTCTTCATTGTTGTTATCGCATGGCCCAAATGGTAACATCTTAAAATAATGTAATGTTATTTTAATGTTATAAAATATAAAATGATTGCCTATTTGTACCCTATGACTATCATTAAGTGTTTTACCTTATGATTCTTGATGAATGTATCTTTTCTTTTTATGTACACTGAGAGCATATGCACCGAGACAGATTATTTGTGTGTCTAATCACACTTGGTCAATAAAGAATTCATTCATTCATTCATTCATTCATTCATTCATTCATTCAAAATGATATTAAAATGGAATAAAAAATCACATTATTTTAAACATGATCCTTAACACACCGGTAAAGATCAGAGTTGTCCTCGGATGTCCTGCTCTCTTTCTGGTTACCCTATTGTCAAGTCAAGGAATTTTTTTTTAAATGATTTAAATAGATTAAAAACTGATTTAAAAAAAAATCTAACTCTTTTTAAAAACAAGTGAAGTAGAGGTAGTCCTCAACTTACAATCACATTTAAGACCAGAATTTCTGTTGTTAAACAAGATGGTTGTTCAATGAGTCCCACCCAATTTTGTGACCTTTTAATCCTGATTGTTAAGCAAATCAGTGCAATTGTTAAGTAAATCATGAGGTTGTTAAGTGAATTCAGCTTCTCCCATTGGTTTTGCTTGTAGAAGCCAGCTGGGATGGTTGCAAATGAGGACCTGTCGTAAGTACATGCCAGTTGCCAAGCATCTGAATTTTTGATCATGTGACTGGGGATGCTGCAACACTTGTAAGTCACTTTTTTCATTGTAGTTGTAGCTTTGAACGGTTGCTATGTGGAGGGTTGTAAATTGAGGACTGCCTGTTTTGAAGTCTGTTTAGACTGCAAGTTACAGATGTTCAACATAGTAAGAGGCTTCAGATATGGATATTCAGCCGAGCTTGCAATCTAAATACAGGTAGTCCTCAACTTACAACGGTTCATTTAGCAACTGTGCAGTTACAAAGGCACTGAAAAAAGCGACTTATGTCCGTTTTTCAAACTTAGAGTACCCCATAGACCAGTGGTCGCCAACCAGTGGGCTGGGGACCACTGATGGTCTGTGAGAAAATGTTGGTGGTCTTCAGAGAAAAGTCCCCCCCCCCAAAGGCCCCCCCCCCCCCAAAAGCAATTAATCCAGGCTTCGTGGAAACACAAGGCTGTGCCGTCCTCATGGCCCGCCCACTCGCTGGCCCACACTCTTCGGCTGAATACAAACTTTACCTTGAGTAGCCACGCCAGCTGGAACTGGAAGGTAAAACCAATGGCAGGGGAGAGAAATCTGCCCCGGGGTGGCTTGCTGACATTGGTGGGAAAGTCGGTCCCATATTCCAGAGCTGCAGTAGTCACAGGACTGGTCCTTTGGTCATCCCGGAGCAGCTGCTCCTCCACCCGGGTGCACTGGCTTACCATGGATTGGAGGAGGTGCTCCGGGATGACCAGAGGGCCAGTCCTGTGACCACTGCAGCTCTGCAATATGGGATCGACTTTCCCACCAATGTCAGCAAGCCCGCGTCAGTCAAAATTCATATTAGTGGTCCGCAGGATTTAAAATTATGAGTTTTGTGGTCCCTGAGGTCCAAAAGGTTGGCAACCCCTGCCATAGACAACGTGTGCTCAAAATTCAGGGGTTTGGCAACTGACTCATATTTATGACGGTTGCAGTGTCCCAGAGTCATGTGATCCCTTTTTGTGACCTTCTGACTGTGTTACTAACTTAACAGCTGCAGTGATTCGCTTAACAACCGTTACACAAATGATCGCAAAATGGGACAAAATTCACTTAACAAATGTTTTATTTAGCCACAAAAATTTTGAGCTCAATTATAGTCACACGTCAAGGACTACCTATAGACCTCTGTCTCAGGAACAACTTCATTGAAAGGTAAAGTAAATCTAGAAATTCCTTACAGTACGAATATAATCAAATTACATAAGCTAGATTTCTTCTATAAAATAACAGAAGCACTTGTGGGCATTGTAGTGCTTGAAACAGGAATCAAAATGCTTGCTGCAAATCTTTGGCATACATTAAGTTTGTGACCATCTGCTGAGGGTGGCAGAATGCCTTCCCACAATATGGTGTACCAGTTTAAACTAGGTTCAGGTGCCAACCACAAATGAATTCCATTCTCTGACAGGAGATCATGGTGGGAGAAACAGCATAGTTGTAGAATGTGTGCTTCATTAAACTGATTAACACACTTGGCATGTGTGTATCTTTGCAGTCATAATTGGCAATTTCCTTTGGTTGCTTTACTTTTTTGAAGATTGAGATGTAAAAGCTACATTTATTGTTTTCGAGTATTGCAACATATATCTTGGTTTTTATAGAATATGCTGGCAATGAAAATATTACAGGTTATTGGATTGATTGACTGATATTGATGGATTTAAAAAGCAAAATGTCTTCAATCTTAACCATAAGGGCACCCAGCTTCTTCAAACCGTGTGATAGCATGGAGCAAGCAGGCTGGTCCTGGGTGCAAAGATCTGAAAAAAGAAACTCTTATATTTCTCATGAATTACTCTCCAAAAGTACATCTATTTTGCATGAACTAAAAGGTTAGGGCAATGGAATTATCTAGACCTTACATCTATTGAGGTATTGAGGTCTAACGTATCAGTTTAGGATCAACGTATTGCCACTATCTTTCTTCCTTATTAAGATGGCAGTAAGTAAAGATAGTTCAGGTGGATTTGCTTAGGAATGCAGTTCAGAAGTTAGAAATCCATTCTGCGGAAGTAGCCAAGTCAGGGACAGTGGCTGTTTTTAAAATAAATTTTAAAGCAAGCCAACATGTTGTCTACTTGGGTCCAAAATATTAAGCACATTATGAGAGAACCATGTCCTTTAGACATCTGCAATGGGGCATTTAGTGTACAAAAGTGAAAAAAACATCTTTTTTTATTTTTCTGCTGCTTTTAAATAAACCATAAAAAGATAAAAAATAAAATATATAATAAAGGTGAATGTACACTCTCAAAGGAAAACACACACACTGAAAGTGCTTTTAAAACACTTAAACATTGAAAAAAAACATCATTGAAAAAACCACCATCAGGGGTATCAAACTCATATCATCACATCGTCATGTGACATATTGCAACTTCCCCCTTCACTAAATGGGGTGGGCGTGGCCAGCACGTCAGAGGTGGTATTCAGGTTCTGACCAGTTCTGAAGAACTGGTAGCAGAAATTTCGAGTAGTTTGGAGAACCGGCAAATACCACCACTGACTGGCCCCTCCCCCATCTATTCGCTCTCACGAGTCCCAGCTGATTGGCTAGGACTTCTTTTGTTGCCTTGCACAGGAGAACGGAGCTGGAAAGCAGGTTAGTCGGGTGGGAAGGGAATGGGATTTTGCAGTAACCTTCCCCTGTCATGCCCACCAAGCAGTGCTACACCCACCAAGCCATGCCCACAATACCAGTAGTAAATTTTTTTGAATCCCACCACTGTAGCACGTGACTCATCCGGCCCGGGAATCCCAAGTTTGACACCCTTGGTATGGACTGTCATTTTTCTCTCTCTTGTCTTTTCTTTTAAAATTGATAGATAAAGAAGGAACCCAGTTCTCCATCGGTTGGGTTTTGCTGAGTGCACTCCTTGGCACTATGGCGATGCTGTGCAAAGAACAAGGAGTCACAGTACTGGTAATTTTAACATTTCTTCGCAACTCAGTTCAGTGGTAACAACGGTGTTGTACCCAGATGCACTTCCTGTATTTCCATATTACTCAGGATTTCTGACAATTTCAGCAAGCTTTCTTTTGCTCTGAATATTTTCAAAAGGTACATTTCTGCTTCCTCTTATTCATTATTATTCTTGCTGTCATGAGTGACCAGACATTGCACTAAACCATAATTTGATTTAATTATGGTTTGGCTATATTGACAAAGGTTTGGGTTTTCTGGAAAATTATTGACATTTTCCAAAGTATATTAATATGGTTCAAAAAAGTGCATTCATCTCATCATCTGTATTTGGGTTACATGATTTGAAGTGAAACAAAAATAATTTAAGCATATTTTATGAGATTTGACAGTGCGTGTCAAAAATGTAAAAATTTTGATATATAGAGAAAAATGTTTTTTCTTAGGATGTTGAACATTAAATTATAAAACATTGTACCAAACTTGCATTGCTGGGAAATATATCTCTATACCTATATTTCTATTATCGATATTAGTATGCTGTAATATAATTAATGATTTACAAGTCACAAATGACTGGATTCATCTATCAGTTTTGTGTGTGTGTGTGTGTGTGTGTGTGTGTGAGTTAGTCTTCCATTATTTAATATTTTCTAATAATGCCAGGATCAATTTCCCAGAATGATCCAGAATTCAGAATCAGCAATTTACTGGTTAATCCAAGGCATTTGTATTTTGCTTTAGTTCAGATTATTTATTCAAAGAATTATGGATTTATTGTATATTTTAATCAATTTAAAATCACAACTCTATGCAGCTAAGATAGAGTTTAAAAAATACACAATATAAAATAACAATATAATAAGCACATAGTGGCAACTGAGCACAGCACCAATCCACAGTAAATCAGTATCACCTCATGGTCTCAACTAACCTCTTGACCCCCATTGCTAAATAATGATTTATTAATTATGACTTTTGAAGAGAATGAAAGCTTTTTATGTGACAGCAGTCAGGTCCTTTATATTATTTGCAGATTTGGGAAATTGTTATTTGTTTATCCAAATTTAGATTAAACTAGGATCAAACTTTTTTTGCTAACTGATTGAAATAAACCACACTTGTGCAGGTCTGTGTGGAACTGCCATTTCCTCCAAAGTAAAATTGTAAACAAAAATATGTTTGGAATTTGTTAAATTCCTCAAGACAAATGTATAAGATGATTTTCCTGCAAAATGGGGAATATTCCCATATTATGTATCAGAGCTCAGAGTTTTTACGGTCATATACAGAATTTAACTGGATTATCAGATACGTTGTGAGCCGTTAATACTGGATAAAAGAGAGTCTTCCTGAATATCCGTTTCAATTTGCTACAAAAGTTGTGGATTTTTACCTACCACTTTAAAACTACTGTTCTCTCCTGTGTCATCTGAAAGTAAGTCCCACTAAAATCAACAGGACATTCCTGATTATAGATAAATGGATTGGACTTCACAACTTTTATACTGCTGAAAATGAGGCTGCGTATTTACCAAATGCTAAACACCACTAAATAAAGTTGATTTTATTTTGGGATAATCTCGTGCACCCGGACACATGTGCATACAAATAATTGAAATCATATAACATAATTTGTATTATTTTGGAGAATGCTTACCAAAAAAGTGTCTCAGAAAAATGCTTAATAAACGTACTGTGAAATGTTCATAGATAGGAAATACTGGATATTTCAAAAGTTCCACTCTTTTTCCAGATTTTCTTTTTACTCCAGATATATACCGGTATATATATCTTCTTTCACATATATATATATGAATGTCAGATGCATGCATCCATGCATACATACATACATACATACAAAGAAGATATACTGTATATATTCTTTCTCTCGTTCTTACTTGGTTCTCTGTGTTTTTAGGGTTTAAATGCTCTGTTTGATGCTGTCATGATCAACAGGCTCAATATTTTGGAAGTTGTTTTGAAGATACTTCATAAGGACAAGTCAGTAGAGGTAAGTCCCTTTGTTTTTAGATTGAATAAGATATTGTGTGAGATACAGATAGTCCTTGAGTTATGACTATAATGGCCTCTGCCCATTAGGGTCAGAAGTCAGGACAATGCTTCCCGCCCCTTGGCAGCTCGCATGCCATCACACAACTGATTGCCTTGCCTGCAAGAAGCTATGGGGAAGGAAAACTGTTGGGCACAACTGCCTTTCCGTAAAAGATGACCAGACCGAGACCAAGAGAAGGGTCAACCAGTCTCAAGTCCCTTTGCGCCCATATGCAATTCTAAGTCTAGTTCATATTGAATTCCATTGGCCATTATCTATCACCATTTGCTTCCATTGTTAGTAGTTTTTGATTTTGGTAGAGAATGTTAGCATGCAATAAATTGTTTGTTTTCATCAAATTTCTACATTACCATTTCACTTAAGTGACTTGTATTCTCACCAAAAGATCTGACAGCACTGCATATTTTATTTTACCTCACACTTCAATCATATTGTATGACCAATAGGGGGCAAGTTTAATAAACAGTAAAAAAAAAAAATAAACATTATATATGGCTGAATGTTTTTATAAAACACCAAATTAAGTATCATATCAAAGCTTTAATATGACATCTGTCCACAGCTTTTGAAACCTGACTGTTAACTGTAATATTGGCTTTCTTCCTTGTTTAATTTGTTTTCTCAGTTATCAAACACAGTGAATAGTAGTATCACATAACTGCCAGATGTCATAAAGGATTGCATGTCATCTAACAAATTCAAAACATTATAGAATACTATTAATGTCAAATACTAAACACCAATAATATTCTCTGTCAAATAAAATAAAAAAAATTAAATACATTCCAGACTACTATTGAATTCTGTTACATGACAGTTATAAATATTTTTAATATCTATCAAAATTGTAAAGATATACTTTTTTCAAATTATGAACAGTTAAAGCAATGGCAATACTATATAGAGATTTGTATACTTTCACATTGACATATTCAAAATAAGTGTATCGATACATGTGGAACAATGGTGGGATTCAAAAATTTTTACTACTGGTTTGGTGGGGGTGGGTTGGTGGGGGTGGCATGGCTTGGTGGTGTGGCTTGGTGGGCATAGCAGGGGAAGGCTACTGTAAAATCTCCATTCCCTCTCCACTCCTGGGGGAAGGTTACCATCAGTTCTCTGAGCTACTCAAAATTTCCGCTCCCAGTTCTCCAGAACTGCTGAATACCAACTCTGATGTAGAAGGTAGTGTTAAATAATTTTTTAAAAAAACTTTAGCCAAATACAGTATTTCCACCAAATTTCTTTCCAAAAGTCTTCTCTGTTGATTTCAGTAAAAGTGGAATCCTTTATTTCATTATTAAGCTTGTGAAATAGATAAGCATTGGCATTTATAGAATTATTTCTTAAATTTTCCTATTGTGGTACAGTACTATAAACATAATCAAACATAAATTCAACCAGCAGTAACACTACATAGATGTTTCTATAATGAGGAATTGTATTATCAATATCTTTTATTCATTATTCTTGTACAGCTAAGGAATGTAATTTGGGCCATGATCCAAACCATCTATGCTTCCAGCTTTCTGGAAAGCAATTAAACCACGGTTTGTCCAAAAACCTTGGGGATCCCATGGGGAGCATGCAAGATGGCTGTATCATGTTCAGATGGTTGTTATTATATGTTTGATCCTGACCAGCTCAGAAGTTGACTTAGCCTTCCATCCTTTTGAGGTCGGTAAAATGAGGGCCCAGATTGTTGAGGGCAATATGCTGATATTTGTAAACCACTCAGAGAGGGCTATGAAGCAGAGGTGGTATTCAGCAGGTTCTGGCCAGTTTCTGGAGAACCGGTAGAGGAAATTTTGAGTAATTCGGAGAACCAGCAATATCACCTCTGACTGGAGATTTTACAGTATCCTTCCCCTGCCACGCCCACCAAACCTCTCCCACAGAACTGGTAGTAAAAAAAAAATTAATTCCACCATTGCTATGAAGCACTGTGAAGCGGTATACATGTCTAATACTATTGCTATTCTCCCACAGTTGTTTTAATGGCTGTTACAATTGTTTTTAATGGGAGCCAGTTAACGTTTCTCATTCTTACCCAGTCTGTGCATACTTATCTGCTCCGTTTCTACCTTTAAGAGTAAAAGGCAGTTAACAACTTTGATTTCTTTTCTTTTTTTCATAATTATTATTTCCCTTTTCTTCAAAGAACCTAGCGGTGTTTAGAAAAGGACTTCTTTTCAGAATTACTCTTTTGTTATCTGGAGGAGCCACTGTTCTATACGCCCGCTGGCAAATTATGGGCACAGGACCTCCAGCATTTACAGAAGTGGATAACCCAGCTTCATTTGCAGCCAGTCCGTTTGTAAGGGTAAGCTGGAAAATATGGGATTTTGCCAACCTTAATGATTGTACAAAAAGTCAGACTGCGGCACAGAGTAGTTGCACAGTGAATATGCTGTATAAATTGAGTTCCCTGTTCAGCTCCATCCATGCTAATAATAGTTTGGGAAAAATACGTATAGCAGAGATCTTGGAAATGGTTGCTGATCAAAATAGACTGTAATGAGGCTGGGTGGACCAGGATCTCATGTGATTGATAAATTCATTCCAGGCCAAAACAAGGAGGAGGGATTGAAATCAAAGAAAACAGAGGTGTCATCCCCAGATGGAATCTGTGCCCCTTTTAATAACATATACACAAGAGGCCTGGTTCCAGTTGTGTGGTCACAACAGCCATCTTGAATTTTAAACTTTCCATGGTGGCCTGTGATTCATACATACATTATTTCCTAACCTCCCAAGGAAGAGAAATCATCTTGACCAGCAAGGTAATTCTGCTCACACAGAGATAACATTATGTTACTTACATTTCACCAGCTGGTTGAATCTCTGTGAAGTCTCTTGTGTTCGATTTGGTTTAAGTAGCTGAAGATGTTTCCTTGAAATTCAGATTCATTGGTGAAATGTTAATTCCCTTCTCTGTTTTTGATATATCCACAAGCTGTTTTATATATATATAAATATATATATTTTTCCCTTTCATTGACAGGCTGTAAATTATAATTACTACTATTCTCTGAATGCTTGGCTGTTGCTGTGTCCCTGGTGGCTTTGTTTTGATTGGTCAATGGGCTGCGTACCCCTTATTAAATCAGTCAGTGACTGGAGAATAATTGCTCTGGTGCTTCTTTGGCTGTGCCTAATTGTGCTGGCGTGTCAAGCTTTGGGCTCGAAAGATGGCCAGAAGAGAAGGTAAATTCGGGTCAACACGTTATGGTTCTCCTGAGTTGGTAAGACATTATTGCATGACATCTACCACCACTCCTCTTTGTGGAATTGTGGAATCAATATTTTTTTAGCAAATACAGTGCCAATAAATATTTATAGCAGTACTTTCCTAATTTGGGCCATCTTCATTTCCACTGGCCATGGGGTGGAAAACTGCTTTATCTTCCTCGTGAGAGGACATTTCAAGCTCCTTAACTCTGTAGAAGGTAAAAATAATAATTTGTGCTCAGAATAACATATAATTGATCTGTGATGTTTTTCAACACTGTTCCTCTGGCAAAACAAAACAAAAATAGGAGACTAAAAAAAAGTGCTATTGACAATGGCGGTGTTAGTTTTAAATTGAATTTTGCCCCAGGATGATTACTCTTTTGTTGGTAAGCAGATCCAGGGAAAATAATGGGAAAACATCCTGTCATTTTAAACAAATGAAAGTTGCTTGACAGAATTGAATTGTTAAACGATTTCTGTAAAAGTATTTACACTTCTGTGTTGATTAGATAATCAGTTATGATTCTCTCATCTGCAATTGTTTTAATTGACAAAAGAGACTGGGGTTCAAATTAGACATTTTTTGTGAACACTTGCTTTGTTTGAGATTGCAATTTTTAAAACAAGAATTATTTTAAAAATAATAATCTTACGTGCATGAGAGTTCTTGAACTGTTCTTGAACACATTATGTGCATTATTGTATCGTTCCATAACTTGCAAGGCAGAATTGTCTTGATAATGTAAATGAAAGGGAAGTGGGCAAATTTGCTGGGAAGAAATTGAAAACTTTCGTTCTATGATTTTTGGGGGGAGATTATTTATGGTACAGTATAAGCCTATTTGAAGACAGTCATCCTGTCCCTGTGCCAAAACTCCACTACTCAATCTCATATTGTTCAGGAGAGATCCATTTCTACAGAAGGTTTTTCAATAGGCAATTGAAAAGGCCAGGAGACCGGAGAATAAATATGTAGTTTATTTAGCTTAATACCCATCCATCCCTCCACATACTCGCACACTTTCTGTTCTGCAGATTTTACTCTAAACAGATATTTTTTCTTTACTATATTACACTTGGATATTTGCATTTTCCTTGATACTGATATTTTTCTCAGCCATCAAAATGTGTTTGTTCCAGATATGCAATATGAATGATGTCTAGGACTGGTCTTTAATATCCCCGGAACGTTAAAAGGATTTAGGCTGTTGATTTGTTGTGCCGACGCATTGATATGGGAAAAAGACCCAAAAGAGAAAGCCATGGTCCATGATAAAAAAGAATAATGAAAAAGACCTTGTATTAAACCTGTGAAGCTCATAGTTAAATAGCAGACATCCTGTGGAGCTCTTCTACCATACAGAGATAATAATTTCTTCAAAATAAAGAGGATAGTTTTGATCTTCACGTTGCATAGTTAGAATTATTAGATTGAATCACTTCTTTCTAAATGGTTTGTAATCCTTTAATACCGGAAGTTAAGAACCGTCCTGAGAAGCCTATATGATATTTTCCCATGATGACTCTTTCTGAGGAATGGAAACTTATGGAAATGCAACAGGCATTTAGTGGCATAAAGCCACAAAGCTTGTTCTTAGGAATTGATCTCCTTAAGTTTGACAGGGGCGTACAGGGGTGTCAAACTGGATTTCTTCGAGGGCCAGATCAGCATTGTAGTTCTCCTCCATGGGCTGGCCGGGGGAAGGGAGACTGGACGGATGCCTCCTGTAGCATCCTGCTAGCCAAGAGCGCCAGGGGTCCACCCATGGCCCCCACATGGCCCATTTTCAGCCTGGACGGCCTCCTGCATCACTTTGCCAGCCAAAACAGCACACGCACAGCCCCCACGCAGCCCATTTTAGCTGGCAAAGTTCTGCAGGAGGCCATCCAGTTTGAAAATGGGCATGGGAGCGCACTTAGCCCTGCCACACACCATTTTAGCTGCCAGGGGCACTGCAGGTCGGTCCTTTGCTATTTCCAGGCCGCCCCAGCAGGCCAAATTGAAGCACCCCACAGACCGGATCTGACCCACAGGCCTTGAGTTTGACACCCCTGCAGTAGCTGTGGTATGTTTCATCATCACTTGCTCCCTAACTTCCCCCTGTGGACCCGTAGGGTAAGAATGGAAAGGGGATAGCAGAGCTCGCTGGCAAAGTAGGGCTGGATGCTGGGATAACTCATGGCAAATCTAAATTGACTTACTTGCATCCTGTGTATTTTAGTAAGAGTTTTACTGCATGTTTTAAAATATTTTTTCTTCTTCTGCATTTCAGAATCCTTACCCTGGGATTGGGGTTTCTCATCATTCCTTTTCTTCCTGCAAGTAACCTGTTTTTTAGAGTTGGGTTTGTTGTTGCCGAGAGGGTCACCTATCTCCCCAGTATTGGTTACTGCATATTGATTACGTATGGATTTTGCCTGTTGTGTAAACAAGTTAAGAATAAGGTACAAACAACATTATCCTAATGGTTGGCCAAAAAAAAATGGAAAAAAGATTTAAAAGCTGAGATTTCTAATATGTGTCTTCTTTCTCAAGAAATTGTTGGTTGCGGCTCTGCTGGGCCTCTTACTGATAAATGTGTCGCGTTGCATCGTCCGTAGTAACCAATGGAGATCGGAGGAGCAGCTTTTTAGAAGTGCCTTGTCTGTTTGTCCACTGAATGCCAAAGTAAGCGTTTGTGTTTTCTAAAAACAATAATTCTATTGTTCTATTATGGCAAATAATTATCACTTCCGGTATTTAACTTCTTGCCAAATCACCTTAGAATTAGTCTCTATTATATCAGCAGTTTTAATAATTATAATAGCACCTGAACATTTAGTGAAGGCATTTATTCCTATTGATTTGTCTCAGCTCATTTGTTTTCTGTATACATTTTTATTGTTTCATTTCCTACTTGGAAAACAGGACCCTAGGGAGAAAATTCCTATTACATTCTAAAAAAGGTCCAAGGTCACATTAAACGGTTTTTATACAGTTGCTGTGTTACAGTTGCTGTGTTAGTAACAGCTAATAATAAGAATAGTATATCATATTTCGTGAGTAGGAAAACAAGAACATCTTCGTTGTGTGTTTTAGAGAGGATGTCACACCCAATTTTAGTGGTTGGATATAGGCACACTAATTAACACAGTCTTGATTTCTGAAATGCCGTGGGCATCTTGCCTGAATTAAAGCTTTGCCTACAGGCCTTAAATTGATTTTGCTTCTCCATCACTAGAATTAATTTGAATATTGTTGATGATTGAGTGAGGTAAAAAATGATGAGGATTACACGATCTTTTGTGATGCAGTGGTGTGTGGCACACAGTTGCAAGTTGTACAGCATTTTTTAAGAGTAATAAATCCAGTGAACAAGTGGCTTTGTGGCGTACTTATCCCTTATTGTGCAGATCAACAACTTCCAATGCTTTCATACACCTTTCGATCTGGATGTTCTGTTCATAAGAAGGGTCCATGAATAAATTATACTATTTTACTTCTAAGCTTAACAGTTCTTAAGCTAGTATCCTCAGGAGTGAATTGGTGTTGAAGATTTTGTTTACTTACGAGCACAAGATAGTTGCTGATAACTCAGATTTTGTGTTATTTGTGCAGAGGTGCTGTTTCAGAAATTGGGCCAATCCCTGTTTTTCGGCATTATTAAAAGCAACTGGACATTGTTAATAAAGCTGTTAATAATTTATTGTATTCACTGGACACAGGTGTTGCATGATCTTCATCCTACTCTCATTACAGTTACTTATGTCTAAAATGTGAGCAGCAGAACTATTACTATTCTACCTTAAGTCTTCCTCTAGAATATGTCAAAAGGCAGGTTAATGAGAGAAAATCTGGAATATAAACTTCAATATGAAGAAAATGTGATATTGTAAATCAAAACAAAACAGAAAAAAAGTATTTTAGTTCTATAAAGAGCTAATATTCTGCTTAGATTGTTACATCCAACAATAGATCTTCCCCTTATGTTCTGTATGGATATGGGCTTATATTAGTAATTATAATAAATATTTATAGAATCTGGTATTGTGTTTTAATATTTCCTGAAACCGGGGACATATTTTCAATTTAATTTGGAGTATAGTTCCCACCAAGACAAAACATGAAAATATATTGACTAATCATATTCTAACACACAGCTGAACTTAGTCTTTTAACATTTTTGTTGCAGAAAGCAATCCATTCTAGTCACAGAACTTGTTTATGAAACTTCTAATTTTGTTTTCTTAATTACAAAGATTGTAATTCTTAGATTTAATTTTGAAATCATTATTTATTTGAGATTGACTACATGAGAAGTGCAATTATAGAACAAACTGAAAATATAGTAAATTTAAATCTGACATAAACATCACAGCCAATAGTCAATATCAGCATCAATTTGATTTTCATTTGGGAATTACTTGACTTCAGATATGTAATCAAAATGCAATCTTATTAGTCACTTTCTGTGTAGCATTTTCATTATCAAAGAACAAGTTCCATAATCAAACCAATTAACCATTGAGAATCTTTTTTCATTCTCCAACAAATTGCAGCAAGGATATCTGATAGAAAAATATCTTTGGGCTTTCAAATAAGCTAGGATTCTGCAGCACTAGTTTGGAAACTAGGATACATATAGTTGTAGCATTTTTCCTGGAGTTGTCCACCTGGTGTACATGAATGTTTTGATAAGGATATGGCCGTTGAAAGTGGTGCTGGTGGTGAGGATAAGTTCTGAGTCCCATTAAGTGTTCCTGATATCTGGATAGTCTCCAGAGCCTTTTCATTTAAAGTTAAGAGCTCTTTCAATATTCTATTGTTCCCCCCCACCCCCAGGTCTTGTTTTATGAAGTATAATTACATCTGTCTCTCACATAATCAGTGCGAGAGACAATGTTTTTTCGATAGGCATACCAAGCATCATGTTAAAATACATGAATAAAAATACACATCTATTAAAATGGTTACAATCATCCAGATCAAATTTCTATGAACCAAATTTCTATGCACTGGAAAAAAAAATCACTGCCTAGAATGATTTTGTTCTGACCTTCCCTTTCAGGTCCATTATAATGTTGGCAAAAACTTAGCTGATAATGGCAATCAAAGTGCTGCAATCAGCTACTACAGAGAGGCTGTAAGGTATGGATGATTTGGAATGTGTGTGTTTTTTTTAATTGTTGGCTTGTTTTTAAAAAGCAGAAAGCAGATACAGGGTAAGAACCTGACCATCAGAAAGATCATCAGCCGTGATAATAGAATATTGAGGATGTATTAAGGAAATACATTCTAAGCTGTGTTTGTTTTAACTATTTGTTGTTGAGTGAACCATTGTAGTTTAGTACAGACTAAATGCTTAACAATATACCGTGTTACAGTGGCTGGGATTTTATAGTACAGTAAGGTAAAACTAGTTTTACCTTACAGTAACTGCAAGAGGGATCTTGGAGTCTTAGTGGACAGCCAGCAAAATATGAGCCAGCAGTGTGCAACAGCAGCAGCCAAAAAAGCTAATGCAATCCTAAATTGCATTAACAGAGGGATACAATCAAGATTAAGTGAGGTACTAATACCACTCTATAAAGCCTTAGTAAGACCACACCAAGAGTACTGAATCCAGTTTGGTCACTACATTATAAAAAAGATGTTGAGACTCTAGAAAAAGCACAGAGAAGAGCAACCAGGATGATTAGGGGACAGGAGACTAAAACATATGAAGAACGGTTACAGGAACTGGGCATGTCTAGTCTAGGGAAGAGAAGGACTAGGGGAGACATGAGAGCATTCTTCCAATATTTGAGGGTCTGCCACAGAGAGGAGGGAGTGAAGCTATTTTCCAACTATTTGTTTTTGTCTTTTCAATCCCAGATTGAATCCTAAATACGTACACGCTATGAACAACTTGGGAAATATCCTGAAAGAAAAAAATGAACTTCATGAAGCTGAAGAACTTCTCTCACTAGCTGTTCAAATACAGTATGTTTTGAACATCAAAAATATAGCTGTGGGTCACCAACGTATTGTGGTGTTACCTGGACATTTTCTTAGTTAATCTTCTGAAATATACTTTGTGATGCTGTTATGTGTAATGTATTTCATTAGAGGACACTCTAGAACATTCCTCCTCCAGATTGCACAAAGCTGTCTTTTTTAGGATGTTTTTCATAAATGGTTTGTGGTGTATATACATGGTCTAGACTCTAAAAGTCTGGTTGAGATAAGAGAAGATTCCAGAATTTCTCAGAACATTCCTTCTTTCGAATGGAGTGTTTTGCTGAGTAAATTTGCCCTTGAAGGTTGTGCAAATAGCACTGCTACTACAAAATGGAGCTATATTATTTCTTGTCGTAAACTTTGGGGACCAGTCATTGGCTTCTAGTTTGTTTCTTTGGCATAAGGAGGATTTAGATTGAAGGTACCTGAAGGACCATCCTTCTGTATTCAGATGCCTTTCTTTAAATCCCACTAACAAGATAATTTAGGTTAATTTGAGCACAGAACAAGGATTCTCTGAGCTTGATTTTAACCAAAAGGCCGAGAAGCAATGAGAACAAAGATTCTCTGTAGTGATTTCTGGATTATAGAACATGTTTCTCTTCTCTTTAGTTGTAGGTTAATTCTATTCAGCTTGGCTTTAAGTGCATTGTCTCTATTTCTTGTATTTAAATTATTCTCTCCCCTCCCTTTGTCCTTGATGTACTATGTTACTAAATTATTGTTTTGTTTTCAAAAATACTTAAATTGCTTTACAGTTTTAAATTCAGATTGCATTTTTAATTTAATAAATAAGTAAGGGGCATCAAAGCTGTATTTGTATTTAATATGCTAAAATGTTCACAACTCTCTTTGCCTAGGCCTGATTTTGCAGCAGCCTGGATGAATTTAGGGATAGTGCAGAATAGCTTAAGAAGGTATGAAGAAGCAGAGAAAAGCTACTGGACTGCAATTAGACACAGGAAAAAATACCCAGATTGTTACTATAATCTAGGACGCTTAGTAAGTGTACTTATTTATCTTTCTGCTAATGATCCTAGATCAGCCTTAGCAACTTTAAGTTCTCTGGTTGTCAACTCCCAGAATTCCCCAGCAAGAAACACCTGGGAGTTGAAGTTCACACATCTGAAAGTTTCCAAGCTTGAGGAAACACTGTCCTAGATACGTAAGATGCAAGTGAGTTTTGAATGTTGATCAGTTGCCTGTTAGAGAGTACCTTCTTGGACTTCGGACTTGTTTAGAAAGATTGTTTAGGTTCTTTCACACACTGAAGTTGCAGCCTTAATTTTAATAGAAGTGAATTATAATATAGGATTGCATCAGAACAAATATAAACCAAAGCTCACATTGATTCTTCTGGTGTCCCAGAAATGCTCAAGTAAAGTCTCTTGTTTAGGAACTAAAAGTTTCTTGTACTGTATATACAAAAATATACAATATGTAAAACTGTATATTAAAGTGGTAAAAATTAGCAGCACACTGTGTCCTATATCAGGGGTCCCCAACCCTGGTCCATGGACTGGCACTGGTCCGCGGTATGCCAGAAACAGGGCCACACAAACAAGCGAAACCCCATCTACAGGATGCAGGCAGCATGCAAAACCATGTCCCTTCTGGTCCGTGGAAAAACCTTTCCACAGAACCGGTCCCTCGTGCCCAAAAGGGGGGGTGCTGACCTATATAATTACTGAAGTACAGGTAGTCCTCGACTTACAACAATTCGATTAGTATCCATTCAAAGTTACGACATTGAAAAATGTAGACTTACGACCATTTTTTCAGTTACAACCTTTGCAGCTTCCCCTTGGTTACATGATCAAAATTCAGATGCTTTGCAACCGGTTCATATTTATGATGCTTTGCAGCATCCTGGAGACATGTGATAGCTTTTATGACCTGACAAGCTAAGTCAGTGGGGAAGCCAGATTTACTTAACAACCAGTTATTCACTTATCATCTGCAGGGATTCCCTTAACAACAGTGGCAAGAAAGTAGTAAAATGGGGCACATAACAAATGCCTTACTTAATAACAGAAATTTTTGATTCAGTTGTGGTCATAACGTGAGGGCTACCTGTAATTGAACAATCTAAAAGTCTAGGGAAAAATGGAGAAAAGGGCTAGAGGAGAGTATTAATCAAACAATAGTAGGGATAAATGCTCTTTAATGAAATCAGTAATAAATTGGCAGATACCACTGCTAATTTTCTCCCAACTGCTGTTCTTGGCAGTCTTTGGGGGGGTGAGGAATAATTTTATTTCTTAATACTGTACTGTCATGCAAAAACTTAGCACCAACTAGGCATTGGTGATGCTGTGTGAATGCCACAGATAGGTATGTTATGCCTCCCCAAGATCACTGTTGCTAGACAAAACTCAAATTCCCCCCAAACCTGAAAATGTGGGTTTCCCCTGCCTTCCAGAAGTGTCCTGGGAGCTCCTTAGGTTACAAAAAGCATATTTGAGGTTGTGGATTATAAGCTATGGGTAGATCATCTTTGTCCTATTCCTAAACCAACCTTGATATTCCAGACAGTAACTGGATAAATGTAAATAATAGGCAAATTTTGCCCGGTACTTATTATTATTCTGGTGGTTTTTGTTTGTGGTTTTGTTTGTTTGTTTTGCTTGCTTGTTTGCTTTGCACTCCAACATGTAAGACTTAGATTACATCCGTTGGAAAAGTCAATCAGTTTCTTCAATCGATAAACACTAATCTTCCTTCTGAAATAAGAGAAACACAGAATGTTGAGCTGTTTAAATGTTTAAATCAGAATGTGCAGCCCTTCTGATTTAAACGCGAGGGAGGTCCTTTGGGGGGCACTCCCAATCTCTGTGCTTTTGGAGGGCGCAGAAGCACTGACCCACAATGGGCACTACCCTGGAAAGAGAGGTAGCTTCTTAAAAGAATTGCAGATAGGCGGGGGGCTATGAGATCCTATGTACTTTGAAGCCCCTTTTAAGGGTCAAACCCAAAACAGAACACAGCCCCAAGGCATACAGACTGGGGACCTTTCTAAGCAGAAGGTCTTGTAGAAAATGGGGCAAAGGTTCAGAAAATATACAAACTCCTCTATTCTGTACACAGTTATGTGCAATTCTTAGTGTAGATTTATTTTTTTCACATTTATAAAAAAAACATTTTTCTGGAATTATAGCTATTCACATTGCAGATTTATTTGGTGTGCAGAGACTCTCATACAGTGGGACCTGAGCAAGGGTTACTTTTCTTGGCTTGTTATCTCACGGCCAACTGTGTTCCTTTCAGTATGCTGATCTGAATCGCCACATCGATGCATTGAATGCTTGGAGAAACGCCACAGTGTTGAAACCACAACATAGTTTGGCTTGGAACAACATGATTATATTGCTCGACAATACAGGTACAATCCGCTTTTTTTTCCAGACTATTTTTTTTTCTACAACTTGTTTAGATTTCCAGCCCATTGTTTTCTGTTATATGATCTCGGGCTCTAATTCTAAAATAGGAATTAGAATGTCGCTAACCCAAGATTTTACAGCTGCTGTAAAACAGCATCTCTCACAAACTATACATAAACTTGCCAATGTGCCAGAATGTGTGTCCTCAGACATCAGTTTTCCATTAATGTCTTGTGTTCCAAAATACTTTTGCAAGTAATGATTCAGTACTTGGAGCCAAGTCTCAGAATTAAACAAGAAATAAATTTATTATTACATTCTAGTGTTTGGAATCATAACAAATACAGAGGTTTCAGGCGACAATCTTTTGAAAAAGACTCACAATGTATTGCGTCAGTTTTATTTCATGATGGATTAGATCTTTCAGTATGAAAGTAATTGATTAAGAGTCTTAATTTGATTAGCTTCAAACAAAATTCAATAAAAAAGGAGAAAGAATCATTCTAGTTGCTGTCAATTTACTAACCAGCTAGAAAATCTTTCATTCTGCTGGTTGTTTTTTCTATTCTTTTTCTCCAGCAGCCTTCAGGATGCTCACAAAAACCTATTTTTGTGTTTGATATGAAGATTTCTTAATCTGGTTATATTCACATCCTAATAAAGCTGTTTTAAATGCATTTAAAAGCATAGTAGCCAAATATTTATTTTATATTTTACATCTAGAAAAAAATGCCGTACAAATTTTACTGGTCTTCTCTTCACTTGCAATTCATTTTTTATTATTTGATTTGTTTTTAATTGTTTTCTTTAAGGAAAATAGCTAAGCATCTTCTTATGATTAAAAATAATTATTCATCCTCATTCCATCTCATTCTCTCCTTTAATTTGTTCCTAGGGAACTTGGCACAAGCAGAAACTGTTGGAAGGGAAGCTTTGGAGTTAATACCAAATGATCATTCTATTATGTTTTCGCTGGCAAATGTACTGGGGAAATCACAGAAATATAAGGTAAAGCATTTTTTCTAACCACAAATTGTAGATAGATAACTCCTACAAATATTATTTCTCAATGATTCGGGGATTAAGTATGTCCTCATAATTGTGATTCAGTGAAAAGATTGGCAGTGGGTTTAACTTGGAAGCCAACACAGCAAAATATGTATTGATACCCAGAGTTGATTTTTTTCCCCCAAAATCATGGGTGGGCGTGGGGGAATCTTAAGAGAAAATGTAAGTCCTATTCCAATGGCTTGCTTGGTTGTGGGATGACACTTTCTAAACAGCTGTTACCAGGTCAATTTCATTTTTTTTCAATCTGACTAAACTGAAGCACTATTTTATTTTACTTTTTAATTAGGGGGAAGATAGAAATATAGCATGAGTCTCTTCTAGGGAAATCCAAAATCCAGATACAAATATGTCTCAGTTATTACAAAGAATTATTATATGCAAGAAAAGCTCAAACCATAAATATAGAAAAAGTATTTTGTTCTTCAACAATTTTTTGAATTTGATGCTACTTTTTACATGTATTTACCTTTTGTAATAAAAATAGCATCAATTTCAAAAAGTGTTGGAAATACAAAATAGTGATTTGTTCCTGCTTTAATTATGATAAAAACATTTAAAACAATGTAGGTTGCATGCGGTTACAGTTCTCTTTATCTTTCCTATTAAATAATTGCTTTCTTTTAACAAAAGGAATTTGGCTTGAATATAGTCTTTAAAGTCTTAAGGATGTCATTCATGAAGGATCTGTAAGCTTTATAGAATTCATTTTGAAAAATGAATCATGACAATTCCCACTGTTTTTAATTGTTTAGACTATAGGTAGGTTATTTGCAGCCACATGGGAAAAGGGAAAATTGAGAAGAGTTATGAACAGATAGGAAACAAAAGTTTGTTAGAGAAATAGTGAAAATTCTTTTGGCAAGCTAGAAATCCTTTTAGGTTAGAGTTGTTGACTCTGGGGGAGGGGAGATTTTGCTACATTTTACCAATGAAATATGTGAATTTACCTCAAATACAAATACTATAATGTGATTATAAGTAACTAAATGGAAAAATCCACATAATCTCTTGACGAATGTATATTTTCTTTTATGTTCACTGAGAGCATTTGCACCAAGACAAATTCCTTGTGTGTCCAATCACAATCATAATCTTAGATTCATATCGTCAATTTTCTTAAGACTAAATTTGTTTGAATGTACATGCGTTGGTTTTAAGTAGTGATTTGTATGAGGTTTCTAATGGAGCCCACAAGTGTTTTTGTGTTCTTACCAACGCTGAAGTAATTACTGTCTAATTGACAGAAACTACCAACCAACAGCTGGATCGGCCTGTGAATTGTCCCATTAGAGGGAAGTAGAAGTGTGAATGCATGTGGGGGAAAAATAGGGTGACATAATCACATTAATAGACCATAGAGCATGAGGTAATTGGGAGTGTTTGGTTGCACTTGACATTGTAGGCACTACAAAAATAGCTTGTCCTGTTGATCTCTTTTTCTGAATTATTCAGGAATCTGAAGCTTTGTTCCACAAGGCAATTAAAGCCAATCCAACGGCTGCCAGTTACCATGGTAATTTGGGTAAGACATTTTATAGCTCCCCTGGTGCAAACTTTTTTTTAAAAAAAATCAGACACTGGTTGAATTTTTTTTTTTTTCACATTCAGTTTCTTGCAGGCATTCTTCTGCGAGCTAGATTTCTCGTCCGCCTGCTTGCTAAACAAATTGCCAACAAGATACTGGAGTTCTTAGAGTGGGTTTTCAATAGTGTCAAGCTGTTCACATTGTATCCCAGACCAACCATGCAGGCTACCGGCTGCAGCCCAGAGGTGGTGCATGTCAGTGGTGGCAAATTGGCTTGTCCTCTGCTTGCAAATCACAATGAGCTCTCCTGATTAAAAAAAAAAAAGCCATTTATGGCTGTAGCACAATCTACTCTTGTCATTCCTTGGCCCGCGTGGCTCCAAACATGTCTGCTCCAGCTGGCTACAGAGCAGGCTGCCACAGTGCCGACAGCCAACCAAATGTTTTAATGTTTTCTAAGTAATTGGCAAGATTGTCTGTTCGTCAACAACGCTGCTAACAAAAAAAACCCTCTTTGCTGTTTCAGCTGTGCTGTACCATCGCTGGGGAAATTTTGACTTAGCCAAGAAACACTATGAAGTCTCTCTGAAGCTTGACCCCACAGCAGCTGGGACCAGGGAAAACTACAGCCTTTTAAAAAAGAAACTGGACCAACTGCAAAACAAAGGGTGATGCTTGAGGTTTCTTCTCAGGCTTTGAATGCAGATTGCATATAACGTGGCTACGGATCACCAGGGAGAGGCATTGTCACCCAAGACTACAGAACATAACAACATCGGCCGTTCTGAAGTTTCTTGAAATTTAGCCTTAAAATTTCAAAGGGGGGAAATAACGTCTTAGTTTAGACTATTTCATTTAGAGAATTAAAAGGGCTTGCTTCTCCTTTTTGCGGTTTGTTTGTTTTCGAATCAATGATAAAATGATGATGATGAATATTTATACTGATATTAAATCATTTGCACTGGTAGAGTCCACGTTAAAATGAAGAGTTGGAGGATAGTCTTCAGCACAGCCCATGGACAGAGACCTGTCCCCAGTTTCAGAAATGGAAATGGATGGTAACTGTTAGCTTTCAATAGGAATTCCAGTGCAGTCCTGGTACGTGTGGTCCTTGACTTACAACTACAATTGGGACTGTAATTTCAGTCCCAAAAGAGAGGCGTTGTTAAGCGAGACATCCCATGGCTGGATTCGAGTTTACAACCGTTTCACCATGGACATTAAGCAAGTTACAAAGTCGTTGAGCAAACCTGGCTCCCCGCCCCCCAATTGACTTGGATTGTGAGAAGCCAGCTGAGAAGTTAACACGTGATCGCAAGAAGATGCAACTGTCATCAGTGTGCACCAGTTGCCAAGAGCCCAAATTGCAACCACATGATTGCAAAGGTGGTCTGATGGTCGTAACTTTGAGGGTGGGTCGTAAGTAAGTTTTTTTTCAGGCTGTCATATCTTTGAACCGTCTTGAAATAGACAATTGTAAGTCAAAGATTACCTGTATGAAAGATGACCTTGTAATAAGGACAGAACTTGGAGCAGGGAAGATTGATTTGTACATTTGATGAAGAGATGATTTGCTTCGATAGCACAGAAGTTGAAGTTGCTTTCATCTGGCCAGGCTTTAATTGCTGTCCATGTGTTGTAAATAAACCTGCTGAAAAGGAGATATAGCAGGTGGAGATTTTTCCACTGCAAGAATTCTTTGAATTCATGCTGCTCCTAGGTTCAGGTTAAAGTCAGTGTTTGACTGGAATACAAAGGAGGGTTTCCTATTTTGAAGTTGTAAAATTGGGAGCAAGAGCTTGTCTGGAAGGTTGCATAAATTATTTCAACACTTCATTACAACTTCAGACAAAGGGTTTTTTTCCCCTGGGTTTGATATGCTGGTGCCCGTTTTGGTGGTCCTATGAACAGCTTAAATCCATACAATTTCTTGATGTTTCTTCATTTCCTCTTGAGTGTAGAGATGCCAAAAATATATTGCAAGGTCACCTGTTAGTATTATATCTAACTTTGTCTAGTAACTTAAGGATCAAGAAATAGTTTGTTCTTCCATGTCCATATTTATTCTTGGTGGAGTCTATTTTTCTGTGCTGAAGACAAAGAGAAGGATATGCACTGAGCCAAGATAGTGAAAAAGAAATAAATATGATATGCGTATACTTTATTCTAGACTCTTAGTCCCCAATTTCAGCTTCTTCTGAAAGAAGGACCACTATGGGAAGAGGAGTTTTAAAGGATTCTTTAGCCTCTTGACTTCTGTATCATTTAATAAAACACACTTTATTAAAAATAGATTCTATTCAGCATTGCACTATTTTAGCCATCATGGATTTTTTTTTAGATATTAATATTCCATCCCACGAGATAATTATAGACCAGAGTTCCTCAACCCCTGGTTTACGGACCAGCAGCGGGCCATGGCACACCAGGAACCAGGCTGTGCAAGCGAGCAAACCTTCATCTGTGCACCCGCAGGATCCAAGTAGTGTGTGAAACCACGACCACTCCAGAAAAACCACCCTCCATGGAACCAGTGCTTGGTGCCCAAAATGTTGGGGGTCACCTTTGTAGAGAATATTTTAAATAGCTAGAAAGTCCACATGCCATATTCATTTCATTATAGAAGTAGTAGGAATTGTGGGCTAAGATTCTGGAATAAAGTAAGTGTGTTCCGCATTTATTTGTCATTTTCCATGCTGCCTTCCTTCCTGCTGATATGTATATCTCCAGACAGTGGTTACATTAGATTCATGCTCATTCAATAAGAGCAATTCGCTGGGAATGGAAACCTCTGTGTTTTGCAATGCATGTAGCTTAATGCAATTTTGAGGGTACCATGATATTGTAATTTTGTTTTTTCAGCTTTAAATATGTTCAGGTCCTCATTTGTTCAATATTAGATGAACAGATTCAAGATAGAGATATAATCATTTCTGAAGTACTTGCATATGTTAAGTGACAACTATGTTTATTCAAATTATGTTCCCATATACATTTCGGTTTATTTATGTACAAGTATTAAGGGTCTCTTGGCCTTCAAAAGTCTATTCTTTGAAAAAACATTTAAAAGAATGATGTAGATATCAGTCTTGTCAGACAAATATCTGATTGGACAATTGAAATCAATGTCACAGGCTGTAAAAGCTTTATGATATTCAAAAAACCCATTTGGTTAGTGGGTTTTTCCTGACCTACATCATTTTAATAAGGGTTTTGATTACAAAATCTTCTAGATTTTAAAATTCTCCTAGCATTTGATGATAATTTATGGCAAAACTGAATTTGTTAGATCATAAATAGCATAATTTATTCTGTTATGGGAACACAGTGGGCAAAGGAATACTTTTCAAGATGTTATAACCACTTTCCAAAATGAGAGAAAGAGATTTTCTTATCAGTTCTTTTCCTAGTAGAGCTGTCTTAGACCAGCCCATGAGAGCATCCCAGATGCTTACTAGAACAGAAACTACAGTATGTCCCATTTTGTCAGCCTTACTAGGTGGACCAGATAAGAATTACAACAAAATAAATAAATTCTACTCTTTTATTAACAGAATCTTGCAAGTTTGAAAGTACCATTCTCCCACCATCTCCTTTACAAACCAAAAAATTAGGGTCTCTTCTGAATATCTACTCCTGTCACTATTCAGCTGGAGACAGTGTTGTCTCTGATCATTTCCTAGGTAGCATTTCTTGGTCATTTCTTCTAAGGTCTGTCCCACATAAACTTAGACATTTAGAGCAAGGATCTTCAAACTTGGCAAATTTAAGTCTTGCTGACTTCAACTCCCAGAATTCCTGAGCTAACATGACTGGAGGAGGAATTCTGGAAGTTGAACTCCACAAGTCTTAAAGCTGTCAAGTTTGAAGACCCCTGGTTTAGAGGATCACTATATTATGAACAAGTAAAACTTGACTTTGGTGATAATATTTATAACAGGTAATACAGGATATAAGAGCATGCTCTTTAAAAGAACAAATCAAGAGAACCATAGACATAATTATAGAACAATTGTCATGAGAGCTATCCATTTTCTCTTTTCTATATGCTGGTTATTTCCCTAATGTCTCCTCTTTCCAATTGTCTCTCCTGTAATTTCTTCTCTTCACATTCTTTCTGCCTACTTAAATCTAACCCTTTATTTGCTTTAACTGAAACCAAATAAGGTAGTACTGTATTTATCATATCAGTAATACTTGGATATTACTCTGGATATTACTGATAGAATTGGACAAAATATTTCCAGTTTGAGTAGAAATGGCCTCCAAATACCTTCTTTCAATGTGGAAGCAGTTGTTTTGAGATCACACAAGGTCTTCCAACTTTGTGGGAAATTTTTCAAGTCCCGTTTGAAGCTCAAAATCTCTGGGCCAAATTTGAAATAATTTCCTATAGGTTCCAGACAGCCCATGTCAAATTCAGAACAAATATTTCAAACACAGCAGGGAGTTTCAAGCTTAAATTATTTCTAATCTTGAGACATTTTTGCACAACCCTAATTGCTGGTCACTGCATCATTGCTTTGCATTTTGTGTTCTGAATTAGAAAATCAAGACATTATAAGGTGAAACTTATTTTAAATTTGTCGGTTTAAATTTTTTAATATTTTACTCTTTCTTTATATTAACAAAAGTATATTTTCTTTTTTAAAAAAAATTACCAATTAGTTAAATTACTGCCCCAAATCATTTAAAATTCTTGTAAATCCTTGTAGAAGTTTCTTGTAGACGTTTACATAAAAATATTGAATTCAGTATGCTTGAAATTATAGGTCTTTGCAAAAACTAATTTCAACCAGCACAATAGGATAAAATTGGTTCCCTGTGTAATGTGAGATGAGGCAGTTGAGTTAATCCAAACCATGATTCAGTTAATCAGCATTAGCATGTGATACAACTCAGACCAAGAATAAACCAGCAGGGAGCTGGATCAGCGGTTAATTCCTTTTCTAATATCGTTGTAAAATGCATGTGGTTACAAACGTTGGTTACTCAAAGTGACATTTTTAATGTGTGCTTGTTGGTTTGCATGTGTACATATGGGTTTTTAGATGAGATGCAAATGATTTTCCTTTTGAAAATAATAAGTATTAAAACTAATAATTTATTTTGGAGCTGCTTGAATAGCATTTTAAAACACTATAAAAGTACATTTCATCTCATAAGTTCTACATCGGAGGTCTCTAAACTTGGCAGCATAGCTGGCTAGAGAATTCTGGGAGTTGAAGTCCACAATCTACATGATGGGTTAAGGTTAAAGGTTAGGCTTTCCCCTTAACTCTAGGTTTCCTAAACCTAGTATATCAAGAAAAGCATTAGGATGACTTGCCCAGTTTATTCACTAATTGTTCATGATTACCACAGGTATTGGGCACATAGTTCCACAATGAAATATTCACGTGTCATTATTTGCTTCTGAAAACACACCCAAGAGTCTTGTGGCTATGTTAATTTCCAGTTGTGGTAAAAATTCAAGCAGTTACACATGAGGAAACCATATCTTTCCAACCTGGTCTATAGAAACATTGGCAGAAAGGATTTTTTTTAAATTAAGATTGTCTCTGCCTAACTGAAACGCTGTCTTTTTTGGTTGTATGTGTGACACCTATAAAAAGCATTGAACTTCCAATTGCACAGACTTCCTCTTGACCTACTGATACTCTCTTCGCCTAGAGACAGCTGTATTTTTCTATACAGTTTATCTTAAGAGATGGTTGCTTCCTGGTGCAAAACATTTATTTTGATATAGCTGGTAGTGAGTGCTTATTAACTTTTCCTGGGACAGGTGTGAAACTGTGCCAGGCTACTTGTTTATGTCTTTGCCCGTGGCAGCATAAAACATTTTGTAACTGATCTGGTGTCAAATTTGTGAGAGATTTACATCTTGTTTTTTAATTATTGCCTGCCAATATCAGTGGGATTTAGAGAAGTACATATTATGCACTAGATATTTTTTTAAAATCTTAGGAGGTGATGATTGATGGAGGGAAGGCAATAGGAAGGATAGGAACATTTAATCAATTATTTTCCTGCAATTTTTTTTGCACAGAAACTATCCATATGTCAAGCCGCTTTGATTGGCAAATTAACAAATCAACCTGATTATTTAGCATGCAATTAATAAGCCTCTTTCAAACCTTACTTCAGACTTCTGGATTCAGATAACAGGTAACAGATAATCAGAGTTGGAAGGGATCTTGTAGGTCATCTAGTCCAACCCCTGGCCCAAGCAGGAGACCCTACACCATTTCTGACAGATGGAAGTCCAATCTCTTCTTCAAAGTCTCAAGTGATGGCATTCCCACAACTTCCAAGGACAAGCTGTTCATTCCATATAGTACGGCACTCAATGCCTTATTTGTTTGCTCTCCAGTAAAAGGCAATAAATCATGTCTTTTTCTAAAATGAAATAATAGCTGTTATAAATTCCTTTACTGTTTATAATGAGGATTAGGGCTCAAGGCTCAGAGGTGCTTGCAAGTTTTTGCTATGAACTTTAATCTGATAACAAATTGGGATTGTCTCTACAGGTAGTCCATGACTTAAAATCACAATTGAGCCCAAAATTTCTATTGCTAAGTGAGACATTTTTAAGTGTCTTCCCCCATTCTACAACCCTGTTGTTAAGTGAATCACTGCAGTTGTTGAGTTAGTAACATGGCTGTTAAGTGAATCTGTCTTTCCCATTAACTTTGCTTGTCAGAAGGTTGCAAAAGGTCATCATCCCATGACCATGGGACATTGCAACTGTCATAAATATGAGTCCTTTGCCAAGCGTCTGAATTTGAACTTTTCTAAGTCGAGAGGAGCGACGAGTACTAAAAACAAGGACTGAGCAAACCACATAACTTACTCCGTGATCTTTATTTCAACCGGAAGAAGTAGGAGTCATGAGGCAGCCGACACTAGCACGTTCTACCTTAGGCATTGATTACCGGGAGTAAAACAAGTACCGGGACTAGATTTTCACTTCAAAATGCCTCAAATTTTACAAGTTTTAAAGCAACCAAGTACCAAGATATGACTGTGTTCAATTGGATTGTAAGAATTATAGTTGTTTGTTGTAAATATTAACAATTTTGTAAGTATGGATTTTGCACAGGAGAATTCATGGGATTTCTGTGTGTATCAGAACACAGAATTATCTACGGTTAGTTTGGTGATATGTTTAATGTTTGTCTGTCTATGATACGTTACAAGTTTATTCAGGGAGGGCTGGTTAAACTGTAATAAACATTTAATAATAAAAATGCATGAAGCCTCTAAAAGTAGTTTCTTACTTGGATGGATTGATGGACGTCTTAATGGAGTCCTTCACTGTTAATAAGTACAATGTTTGTGCCCTGTATGCGATTTTGCAGGTTTGCATCTGAGCAAGTCTTAGATTTCAGATCAGTATTTCCCACCGTGTGAAATTGACTTCTGCCCAAATATATAGAAAATTAATTCCTAGCTGTACATGGGTAGATTTTTACTTATGATCACTCACTTAGAGACCATTCAAAGTTATGACAGACCCATACCCCAAAAGGTACTTACCACACATGGTTCTGAAGTTCCGACAGGCTCCATTACTGCTGTAAGTCGAGAACTACTTGTAACCTGCAGTTTCATCCAGGAACTCAAAGCATGCACATTGTATTCCCTTACAAGCTTCCAGATGTACAAGTTTACAAACTTCCTTTACAGCAGATTTCAACATTTCAGGCTTTGCAGACCAGCAGGGGGACGGAGGGGATGGTTCGCCTAAGCGGCTAGCAAGCACACACATGGCTCCATTTGCCTGAGTGGCGTCTATAGGCACCTGCCACCCACACAAATGGAGCATGCATGCTCACCTGCTACACACACAAGTGAGGAGGCATGTGCATACGTGCGCACTCACTGGCTGTTTCCATGGCCCAGTTGCAAACCCCTTACGGCCCCTTAGTTGGGGACTTCTGCTTTTACAGTATCACCTAGAGCAGGGGTATCGAACTCATGTCACGGTGGCATCACATGACATATCAGTTTTTTTGTCCCCTTCGCTAAACTGGGCGTGGCCAGCAGGTGACGCATCCGACTGACAGGCCAAGAGTTTGACAGCCCTGACCTAGAGAGCTCCCATAGCTGAAATAAATCTTCCCAGTGCTAGTTCATAGCATTAGACCAGTTCCTGGATCAAGATGCTCTTCACAGCTCACAGAGAACGGGCATATCAGGTAAGTACCAACGCCCTATCTAGACGGGCTGCAAAGTTCAACACTTCAGTGAATATTATTTCTGCAAACAAATGGCTTCTGTAAGAAAAGGAATACCTTATTTAGAGAAGCAGAGGCTTTCCAGCTCAGTGGTGTCACTGTGGATTGAAACTGCATTCTGGATTTCAGGCAGAAATTTTTGCTAGCTTCCAGACACGCTTGCCTGAAATTCAAACACTTAATGAAGAGTGTTCAACAAAACCTCTCTTCATTATGAGTGCAACTTTCCCTTTAGGGTGAAAGTAATGATTGCTGTCATGTGAATGTATTAAGACAACAGAAGGCAGAGACATACTGTGGCCACCCTAAGAGAGAAGCCCATTCATAAAATGGCTGCTACAGTGAGCTTAGCTAGTATTTATCAAAAACTAAACCAGCCTCCCAACATGCTTTCTATCTCAGTGAGATCACAGCATTCCTACAAATAAATCTGATAGCAGAACCTTTTTTAAAAAGCTAATTTGCCAGTTTCTTATTTCCATATCCACTGTTAGCACTACAAGACACCTTCTGAAAAAGTTCCTAAGTCTGCACACTTTCTCTACGGGTGGAGTATTACTCTTTCATTGTTATGTATTTGAAGCAAATAGGAAACCCCAATGCAGTTTAAATTGTCAATTCTTAAATCTATTCATGAAAGGAACAGGGTTTGCTGGTGAAAGCGTCAGGAGTTGTATCAATTGCAATGACACAAGGGGAATAGATCTCGCCAGCATGGCCATGAAAAATGATTCCGCTTCAGTCTTTGTCACTCTCAGGCAATGGCTCTCCTTTCATTGTCCTTGGCAATGAGGTTGTCCTGTTACATCTTACTCATCAATGAACTGCTATTAAAATCTCAAACAATATGCATTTGCAGCAGCCATTTAATTTGGTTACCTGGATCCGAAGGTGCAGAATTACTTCCCAAGAAATGGCTAGCAAATAGATTTGGAGTAAATTTACAGGTAGTGTTCCCCCACCCACAGACAGTCAACACAGTTTTCATCACGAATGGCATGGATTCATGCATCTTAACCTTATTGCTTAACCCATCCTAAGCACAAAGGGAAATCCACTGGTTGTCTTGGCAACCACAATCTCCCTGGCCCTTCTTTCTCTCTGACATCCAACAAATCTATGGGCATAGAATTCGTACAGTCCTATCAAGCTGGATAGCTGAAAGGCACATTCTTCTACCCCTCTAGCTGCAGCATGAAGTTGCCCTGATAACGTTTTTAAATGATAGGTCCTTATATTTCATTTATTCCCCGCCCATGGTATAATGAAATAACAGAGTTGGAAGGGACCTTGGAGGTCTTCTAGTCCAATCTCCTGCTCAGACAGGAAGCCCTATACCATTTCAGACAAAATGGCTGACCAATCTCTTCTTAAAAACTCTCAGTATTGGAGCACCCACAACTTCTGGAGTCAAGTGGTTTCACTCATTAATCGTTCTGTCAGGAAATTTCTCCCTAGTTCTAGGTTGGTTAATTAGTTTCCTTAATTACCTTCCATCCATTCTTGTCCTGCCTTCGGGTGCTCTGGAGAATAAGTTGACCCTCTCTTCTTTGTGGCAGCCTGTAGACACAGCTTACAATTGTATTCAGTATTCAGCAGTTTTTAAAAAGTTTTCCCTCTTCTCCCAACACACTTTCTAAAAAGCTTCATCAACCATATGATTTGAGGATGCTGCCAGAGCTAGGATCTCCCCAGCTTCTATAGACCTCCTGATGTGGCGCCCACACACACACACACACACACACACTGCTTCAGCTGCCTGGCACTGCATTTTTGCTTGGGCTGCAAAGATATCAAAACCTGGCTTGCACTGTGCGCCTGCATTTGCCTGTCCAGCATTCTGAATAGCATCAGTCAAGCATTACACAGCTTCTTTATATACAGAAGAAGGCTACATCTGCTTTTAAATACTGTGTGGATGTAGAGCTTTTTGTTTTTTTTGAACCAGTGCCAGGTCTGCAATTAACAAACAGAACTAGCAAGAGCCTGTTAGTTCTGTGATGCAAATGTCTGAAACAGACCTGGGTTCTGTCTGCTCCACTGTCAAGTTCTTACAGATGCTTTACTGAAGTCACATGTAAGTTAAGAGAGGTACAGAGCAAAATGGAGGGTATTCTCCCAGCACCTCTCACAAGCTTGAAAGTTTCCTCTCAATTCTCCCTCTGTATTTCTGCTGGCCCTGTCAGCTGAGCTGTTTTTAGATATGCACTTCTGTAGATACCAGAACTAGGCTATAACTTTCTGTATCTCTGAAATTTTGTTTTTGTATGGAGTTTTGCATCCCAACTCCGTAGCACAGCCCCAGTTTGAGTTATAATTTTCATTGGTGAGGAACCATATCTAGTATCATGGGAATGCCTGCTTTAAATTCAATACACATGTGAGGCTGGTGAACCAGTTTGGCTGCAAAGAGAAGCAAGACTGCATAGTTCCTCACTTCTGGGTATCCAAGCCAACCCCTGGTCAGACATATTCCAATTACCACAAGAAACACTGAAGAATTAAATAAAGGGCAACACTTATCTTTAGCAATTCAAAAAAAAGCTATGGCAGGCCAAATCTGATTGGTACATGGATGTAGCATCTTAGATAATCACCTGGCTATAAAGAGGGGAGGGGCACGCCACAGATAGAGTTGATGGCAAAGCACTTATTCTTGTTGCCAAGGGTGGCACTACGTGACATGTCAGCAAGAGTCTAATTTGCCTCAAAGACAAGCCCTACACCTAACCATATTCCTTTTTAAAGCATGCAAAGGGAGTTGTGTTTTGCCTGGCATCTGTTCATTATACCAACCATTATATCAAACATGATTCCTAATGTTCAATGTTTCTATCTAATGTTGAATTTCATGGCAGGATTGTCAGTAATTATTACCACTCTGGGTGCACAAAAATTAAACTAAATATATTTTGCTAGTTGGTTTCTATGGTCAGCACCATACATCAGTGTGAATTTACGTAATTGGGCTTATTCAGTAAACAGTGGCGCTCTTAGCATGAAAGTTTAAGTTCAGATTCAATCCTCTCATTGGAAAGGTTATAATAATTACACTGTAAGATTTATGGGCTGCAATCGAATTCAGTCCTAACTCCAATACCTAATTCAGCAACCCCCTTTCCGAAAAACTGTAGGTGCCTCTAAGAACACATACAAAATTGTATACACAGGAAAAGGGCCCTTCTTGCATGTAGAACAATGATGGTGAACCTATGACAAACGTCAAAGGTGATATGCCACAACATTTTCAGCATTCACCAACACATCACAACTATTCTTCATATATGCCTTCTCATGTGATTTTTGGAGTATGTAGAGGCCACACAAAAAAGGTGTATGTTTGAAGAATGTCGGAAGATTACAGATTAACAGAGTTGGAAGGGACCTTGTAGGTCATCTAATCCAACCCCTTTTCCCACCCAAGCCGGAGACACTATACCATTTCTGACAGAGACATTTTAAGTGGCAGAGGTGGCCCTAGGGCTGAGAACATGAGGCTAAGGCCTCTACTTCAGGTCCAGCCTTGGCACTGCTATTAGGTGCTACCGTTCATGGTGACCTAGATGGGGGGATAGGGAAGTTTTTCTTTTATTTGGAGTGAGATGATACACCAGCCGTCAAGTTAGGCGTTTCCAAATTTTTGACATGGTCTGTGACAAACTGTCCAAACTGTTGCCATCACTGGTGTGAAACATCATGTCCTTGATTCTTGACGAATGTATCTTTTCTTTTTATGTACTACACTGAGAGCATATGCACCGAGACAAATTCCTTGTGTATCTAATCACACTTGGCCAATAAAGCATTCATTCATTCATTCATTCATTCATTCATTCAAAGATCAGATTAGCCCAGATCTTCCTGGCTTTTCCCAGGGTCCTCCTGAAAAATGTGGTTTTGCCAACAGGTTAGAGACCTGGGAGTGTGGCAGAGCCCCTGCTGCAGTCCTGGTTGCTTTGATGAATGGGTTTCCTGGCTGCCAGTTTTATGTATTTTATTAAGTTGTTGTACACATTCCTATTTTTTTCTCCTTTTTAATTTGTCGCATTGCTCTCGTATTTGTTTTGTCTGAAAGTCACCCAGAATCATATATATGAGATAGTCATATACACACGTGTGTATATAAAAACACACATATATAAAGGAACATGAATACACATTTGCACCTTTAGTGGGAGGGGGGAAAGTCACAGCTTCTTGCCAGGTTGTCTGCATAACCCAGACGTCTCCAAACTTGTGGACTTCAACTCCCAGAATTTTCCAGCCAGCATACACAGAATTCTGGGAGTTGAAGTCCGCAAGTCTTAAAGTTGCCAAGTTTAGGGACCTCTGCCATAACCGAAAGTCCCTTTTCTAGCCCAGCCCTATTGTGACGCTAGGGGGCTCCGCCCAATCATCGGCTTTTTAAAGGGCCACAACCCGGAAACCACGGAGGGTGAAAAGGTCGGAGAATTTTCCAGTCTAGCAAGTCGGTCGAGGTGGACTCGACAGCCGTTCAACCTGGCAGGTGAGAGGGTGGGAGAGTTCAGGCTGACCTAGGGAACACCCCCCCCTCTCCCGGGATTGGTGCCAGTGTTTTCGAAGGTGATTGGCTAAGAAGCGTCATGTGAAATTCGTGGAGGGGCCGGGGGAAGTTGGCGGGGGGGGGGGGGGGGAGTTAGAGTGAGAGAAATACCGAACGTTGGTTTAGAGCGGCCTTTCAAACGGAGCGGCGCGTGGCCCGGGCGAGACCACGTGAGGGAAGGCGAGCGATCGTATTGGTCGGCCGCGGTTTTTAAAGACCCGGTTGGAGAGCGATGGAAGGAGCTTTTCGTGGTTGTCAGTGACGGCGGGCAGTCTCGGCGGAGAGCGAAACCCGAAGTCTTTTTGGCTCGAAGGAATTAACTCTCGCCCCTTGAGCGGAGTCGTAAAGATTAACCGTTTTAGTGGGAGAAAATAATAAGAATGTGCTAAGGAAAAGGTCCCGGCCCGGGACTGGACTGGTTTACCCGGTCTGGTGCGCAGGCGCAGAAAGGCCTTTGCCTTCGATCAAGGGTCGTGGAAAGAGTTTCGCGGCTCTGTCGGTATTTTCGGGCGATCTGCCTTCTCCACAAACTGGACTTTTTTTTGAGTTGAAGCGATCAGGCCTCAAGTGTAATGGCTGAGTGATAGAAGTGCAGCTTTCAAAAAACAGCCGCAGAAAAGTCGTCCCGTTGAATAGCGTTGAGAGTTGGAACCAGAATATTTAACATTTCTCGCCATCTTATCAGAATAGAGCTGGAAGGGACCTTGGAGGTCTTCTAGTCCAACCCCCTGCTCAAGCAGGAGACGCTACACCATCTCAGACAGGTAATCTAGTCTCTCCTAAAAAGCCTCCAGTGATGAAGCCCTACAACTTCTGAAGCCAAGCCTGTTCCACTGATCAATTGTTCCAACTGAAAGGAAGTTTCTCCTTAATTCCAAGTTGCTTCTTCTCCTTGAGTTGTTTCCATCCATCGCTTCTTGTCCTGCCCTCAGGTGCTTTGGAAAACGTTAACCCTCCCTTGGCTTCGTGACAGCCCCTCACTCTTGCAATACGCACAGTTCAAAACCATAATCCAAATTTCTGCAACAGCATATACAATTTTTATTAAAGATTTTTTTATTTTTGTTTTTAACACCTCTCTTGTGAGCAAGGTGATTCCAGATTACAACATTTAAACATAGTCATAGTTACATTTCCAACTATCTTATTTAACATCACCTCAAATCATCCACTAATCTTTAATAAATTTCCATGTCATATTTCAGTTCATTAGTTCAATATCTATGTCACTTCATTCACAGAAGGGATTTCTCTACTGTCTTAAAATGGACAGCATCAGAACAACTACCCTTTTAAATACATAAATTGATGTTGAGGTCCCGTTTTGCTTATGGTGGGGTTCGTGTAGTTTAAATTGTGATGGTTGTGGGGTTTTTCACTTGCTATGTAGTGTGAAACAAGCTATTGTGACCTATAATATATAGCTTTGTTTAACCCAGCCATTTTGGGTTTATTAAATCATAGCTAGTATCTTTCTAGCTAGTATCTAGGATGTGTAGTGAATCTTCAGCTGACAACTATATTAGTGACTTTATTATATTTTTTACAAAGGTATATTGCATTTATTTAATGTACATATAAATATTAAGGTCATCTGTTGCTGATCTGTCTGCATTTCCTTTTTAGGAGGAATATACCATGATAAATTCTAATTTAAAGCTGATTGCTTTCCACTGATCAGAGTTTAAAATCGAGGAATATTAAGCTGTGCAGAATGTACAGTCTTTGGGGGCCCTAGAGTTACACCACTGTTCCACCACTTCCTCCAGTTTGCTTCCAGGTGCAATTCAAGGTGCTGGTTATCACATTTAAAACCCTTCAGGGCACAGGTCCAGGCTATTTGAGGAACTTTCTTCCCCCAATGACACTGGTCTGCCCAACTCCTGCTGGCAGAAGGAGCATGCTGCAGGTCCCATTGGTCAAGGAATTTCAGTTGGTGGGGTCCATGAAAAGAACCTTTTTTTTTTTTTGCTGTGGCACCTTCCCTTATCCCCAAGGGGAAATCTGCTCTCATCCTTTTGATCATTCAGAAGGGCCTGAAGACCTGGCTCTGCCATTTGCCTTGAGCCAGGGCAGTATTATACTGGACGTGGTTGACAGATTAAGAGACAACTGCACTTTCCCTCCCATGTGCATCCTGCTTTTTTACTCCCATCTTTTTAACTGTAATTTATTACTGCTATTAGTAATACTTATTGGTCATGGTTTTATTGGTTTTTAATGTTTCTAAACTGTCCAGAGTCGAGAGATGAGTAGCAACCAAATCAAATAAATAACTAAATGGAATGATTAAGTGGAATTTGCCTGGTTTGCTAACTTAAAACAGAGCAAATACCTCAGTTCCTTTTCACAACTGTGTGAAAGTGAACCGGAAGGCACTGAATCTGAAATATTTTGTGGCTTATCCTAATAATAATTGGTTTTGCTGTTCATCAGATGAACCTTAAGATGAAGTGCTTTCAATTACTCCAAATAACTTGCAGTGCAAAATGAATTTTTACAGGCATGAGTTCAGTTTACCAGAGAATCTAATGAAAGTATGCTTTAGTCTACATATATTTATACTATCATTTATCATATAAAATGTCTTTAAAGTGTAACAAACCTATTTTTGCTCTCTTCCTTGCTTCCTGGAAAGACAAACCATAGTAAGGAATCTTTTGCCATTGAGGATTATACTCTGGAATAAATTGATGATTCTTTTCTTAAATGCAGGGGGGGCCTAGGACTATGAACCACTGAATGCATGTTTAGAATTGTAATAGTCATGTCTTCTTTTAGCCTGTTTTGAGCAAATCAGAGAAAATTGTTGGCTATCACATAGTATCTATACATTATTTATCTATGGGGGATTACAGGGCTCAAAATGCCATATATATTCATGAAAAAATGCTGAGACAGATCACTTTAGTTTGAACTAGTAAGTCATATAAAGGAATCAGAATGACTTGGAGAGATACATTTTTGTACACTTTGCCCTCTAATAGTATAAATATATAAAAAATTCTGAAAACTTTACAAATGCAGTCAGTTATTTTGTGATATTAATACCAAGGAGGATCAAAATAAAACACGGAAAAGGGATTACTGAATCGTAATGTTATATTTAGCTGCAGAGAAGTGTCATTTTCAAAATAAATAGAACATTTTTAAAAAAAAAAATCTTGTTTTTGAAAATGTTAGTTCTGAATAATTAATTTTTTGCCTTAACTGAAAACAGAGTTCTATTTTAAATCACTAAATGTTAAAAAATAAAGTTTTCAAGTCAAATTCAAAACTTATCTTTTTAGGAATTGTAGCCTATATTCCCTCCAGTTTAAAATATTTATAATAGACTGCATAACAAAGATTTATAAGAATTCTATCAATCATGATGACAATTGCTACAAAAAAAGTAGAAGAGTCTTGAAATGCTGTAGAGATGAAGAGTAAATTGGATTGAGCGTGAGTAAGAACCCATATTTGGGGTTACATTTTGCTAACAATGGAGTGATTTCTCAGCCCTTATTTCTCAGCCTCTATTGCATATGCAGTTGCCATCATCCAGCCCCTGGTTTCAGGAAATCTGGTCCTACTGGGAAAGGATGAGTTGCAGGGCCACTGTGAGGAATAATCTCATCTTTGGCAGATAAGAGTTGTGTACATTCGCTCAGAGTTGGACTCCGATGGGCAAGACCTTATGTAGTTAGTTATCTGGAGTGAGTTTAGTCCTGTGTTTCCTGAAGAAGCAGAGAGTTCTCCAGTCTGTTAGCTCAGCTACCTGTTCATTAGATCCAGGTCCCTTCTGAGTGTTGAAAGCCACCCAGAAGATGATCTGTAATTAGGTTCATACAATGTCTTAAGGGGAACACCATTTAAATTCTTTAAGGAAGGAAGATATAGTCCCTTAAGCCTTGAAGGAGCTTGTTGGTACACACACTCCTTAAGGAGACACTAAAGCCAACAGTCCTGGACAACTATCATTCAGCATTTCCTTTTATGGCGGAGGTCAGATTTCAGCTCTGGAGAACTTGAAAGAAGCAGATTATTTGGACTTGTTTCATGTCAGCGTTTAGTACAGACACTGGACCGATTGTGCTTTCTGATAACTTGTGACAAAACCATGGTTTTAGTTAGGCATGTTCATTGCAGAGACTGCATAGATCACTCTTTTGTGGAGCTGAGGTGGATGTGTCCATTGTGCTCTTTGATCTCTCAGTGACCATTAGTCTTTTAGACAGGCTTTGGGGATTGGTAACACCATACTATGATGGCTGCCTATTTTCTCTGTGGCTGGTTTCAGTTGATTCTGACAAGAGGAGAGAGATTGTGACTACAGCCCTGCTGCAGGGCTTGGCACTCCCCCTGCTGTTCCACACCACCATGAAACTGCTGGGTGAGATCATTAGTTGGGTTGAGTATCGAGATAATGTCCAATTATATAACTTGGCCTTAGACCATGTCAGCGATGTTATTGATGTCCTGCCCCAGTTCCTGGAGGCTGTGCGGATTTGGATGGGGAGGAACAGACATAGGCTCAATCCCAACTGGGGAGTCTCCATCTTTAGCTTTGGATTCAGCTGCACTTTCCTATTCAAGACTGGTGCACAATTGGGGAATAATTTTAGACTCGTGCTTTCTGCATGAAAAGCAGGTGTCAGCTGTGGCCAATGGAGAAAGGGCATTTGCAGTGATTCATCTTGTGTGCCAGTTGTACCCGTTCCTGAATCAGAAGGCCTTGCAGATGGTCACTAATGTCCTAGGCAGTGGAGCTGCCCTTGAAGATCACTCAGAAGCGTCAGCTAGTTTGTAAGCATAGGCAGTAATAAGCATGCTGCAATGCAGATAGTCCTCACATTATGACCAGTTTCTGATCAACCATGTGAAGCTATGATGAGCACAAAAAAAGTACTTAAGACTCAGATTCAAAATTCTGACACCCGCAGTCAGGTGACCATGATTTT